TGACGCATATCTCGAAAAAGAGGAACGCGTGTAATTAGAGGAATTAGAGCAACAGTTTGAAGCGTATCTACAGTTTTTCACACACGACACTGTTACAGATCTACTATGTGCGCAGAATGGTTGGGCCGTTAACAGGAGTACATTAAAAGGAAGAAAAACAAAAGAGCAACACGAAGGGGAGGGGGGAACCCTGTATTTCGCGTATGCAGTCTATGGTAATCGTTACAAACGCTTGCTACGTCTAATTTTCGTTTTGCATCTCTTCGGTTGAGCAAATTGGAGTGCGGGCTCATGAAACTTCCGTTACTTCTATTCCCGTCAGTGATTGGTCATCGCTGACTCAATTCTATCGCTGCAGCTTTGCTGTAATCGTGATTAGCAGTAAATAAAGGCCGGTTAACAACAAGTTTTTTTTTCATGTAAAAAAATGTGAGTGAGCAAAAGCTTGAGCCCTGATTCATCAAACCTGTCTCGCGCCTCTGCTACAATTCACTAACATTTACTATCAAACCGATCTCGGTCACGAACAGAAGGCGGTTCAATGCCTGCTCATTAACTGGCTACCACAGTGGGACTAGCCCTGTGACCATAAAGCCGGGGCCCGCACTGGCGCTAAGCTTGTATGACGTAAGACTGCTGTTCTCACTACATCGTCGATCATTTTTCATCGTTAGCTGCCTCCCAAGCACAGGTCGCATAGAGAGCTAGCTCATGGTAAGGAAGTTTCACGATAAGCGGGTCTAAGTATATTTGGCTATCGACCTTGGCACATCACCTGCTTTACCAAATCAAGTTCCAGCCCTTATCTTTGCGGACCGGGGTTTTTGAGTCACACCAGTCGCGAACCCTCGCGTTTCAGAGAAGTATCATGTTTCTATTAGATGAGATAGGGGAGGTATATGAAGTACAACGTCACCGCAGGTACCCAAATCAAACTAAATGACATCACCACATGCTAAACCTCTACGGCGTGTATAGGGCCCTCAAAGAAGCCGGCCGTCAGGCATGACTGTCTACTAGAGATGTCGGTGTCCATTTAAGGGTCTCGTATGATTTGAAAACTTTTCCTATGTGTTAATTATAAAGTAAAACACAGCCCTATCTTCCATATGAATGAACTGGCCATAGTGTACTTCAAGCCCAGCGTAAACCTAAACTTTGTTACATGCTTCCTAAGCAGGTATAACTGCCACCTCAATGTTAGAATTCTGTATTCACGTTGTTAGGTTATTGTTTCAACGGATGTTGCTCGCTCAATCTACAGAGTACAGTGTCATTAGTTCCGGAACTCTAATAACGATTACCAAAACGAAAAGGCACTAACGTCTGTAATACCATTACAAAACAGTGCCGGCAAGAAGATTTAGAACGTCTGCAGACGTTTTGTGATGAAGCCTTTGGAATAACGTATATAGCCAGTCTGTAGAGTCATGGTTTAAAGTTATTATAAAATACCGCCGCTAGACCTTCCACAGCCAACCTTTCAAAGCTGTTTGTCTACGGAGTACACTTAGACGAAAACGAAACGGCACCGTCTGGCACAACAGTCAACGGTAAATGTAGAAGCGTACAGAAAAACGGAGAAGTCATTAGGAAGGTCAGTCAGCGACGGCTCTATAGATGGTCTATATAGACTGTGCCAATTCAACGTTTGCAAGGGTATAGACGTTACGTAGGCGACCTGTTGAAGATACCTCAACAGGAATCTTCTGGCATGGTCAGGGAAGTCTTACTTAGACGATGTGTGGTACATAACGAACGGGCAAGTCAAGGCTGAAATACAGTATGCGCAGGTACATACATACAAACAAATGACTGAAGTTGCACAAAGGTAGCACAATGTTGTTGTTCTCCAAGTCAGCGGCCGGTGCCCGGCATGAAGGTGTGAGAACGCACATTTCAGTAAAGGACAGGCGTTGGAAAAGGAGACGAAGTCATTACGCAGTCGACACGTGGACACACGCACACACACATCAACACACCATGGAGCACACGTAGAGTCGGTTACGTTACACAGGCCCAATATCACAATCACGTGTCCTTCTGGTGGGCCGATCTGGCTGCTCAAAGCACTAGAAGAGCGAGTCGACAGTTTCTTGCTGTTTGACAGTATAATGACGGGACCGAGTCCGTGCAGTCACGTGATGCTCCGACGAGTCATGACAGAGGGCAGCCAAATCAGACAGATGACGGGTCATCTTCCGGTGGCTGGCTGATTCTGCGATGACGATAACAAGCCGGCCTTCGAAGTAACGTCGAGACAACAACAATGATGGGGCACTCCGACAAGTACTGTGATCGACGCGATCAACAAATTTTGGGTATGCTAGTTGTCACGAAAAGATCACAGGCCAGAGCTTGCCAAGTCGACAAAATCGGATAACGAACTCTAGATACCGAAGCGTACCTTCGTGGCGTACAAGGTGATGAACGCGATACCAGTACGTACCTTTGTAACGTACGAGGGAATGAATGGTGATTGATTGATTTGTGGGGTTTAACGTCCAAAACCACCATATGATTATGAGAGACGCCGTAGTGGAGTACTCCAGAAATTTCGACCACCTGGGGTTCTTTAACGTGCGCCCAAATCTGAGCACAATGAATGGTGATAACTTTCCTGACATCTTCGAACTACGAAATGACCAAGAAACTAGTTATTGTCACTATCTGAGGCAATTTTATTGCGGTGCACTACTGAAGTCTTGCCCGGAACTCACCAGTAAGCTAGAGCACCACTCCTCGCACAATTCCGAATGTTCCGATAGGCATTGTTCAGAGACGGAGTGACGATGCTCAAGTCATGGTGGTAACTAAGTTCATTGAAGCCGTCGTATTCGAGTTCGGTGAATCGTAATTTTGGACTCGAGTTCTCTCGGATGGTTTTCCGGCTGGGCACTCTTAACGTTATTAAAGCAGTAGGTTCCGTGTTCTGTGGTCATTCTATTTACTGATAGAGCAATGGGGCGCCACGATCAGTACGAATCTGGCACACTTGAAAGACATTTAATTCATTTTAAACAATAAAAAACTCATAGGTCCTAGCTTGTGTCCTAAACTGAAAGCAAGTACTCCGGAGTGACGCGAATAATAACAATCGGCGTTTCGTAATGAGTGATTCTTTGTTGTCAAACAAAACTATCAGTTGTGATAAACCATCACAAATGCCAGACTATTCTCAGCCAATAGAAATGCTTCTGCAGCGGCAAATTGTTTAAAATAGGAAAGCCTGCGATAGAGCCGAAGGCTATCGACCTCTTCTTTATGTATTGCTCTTGATGAAGAAACTAGCTCGCTGTCGGATCCTCGGCTATAAGCATTCAATTTTTTTCTGGAAACACCATTGGTGATCGGGGCAGCGCACTCTTTTCGGCAAAACGTTGGTTTGCTGCTGAGGTATACCTCGTCTAACGACAACGATAAAATGAGAATTGCCTCTGTTTTTTTTCCATTGCGTCGCGCAAACTGAAAACATCCTGTAATACCTTAGCGCTGCATACCGAAACGCGCCTTACGTTAACGACCGACCGCTACCGCCGTCTACATCTTCCGCCAGCGCCTCTCGCGTGGTTGCGAAATGAGCTGTTTGGTCGGCTGCGACAGGCTTGAGAAATAGTCGCTGGCAAACGATCGCCAGTGTTGTAAGCTCGTATCGACGATTCTCAGGTGCGGAGCATAGTTGCGTTTTATAGCCACCGTCACAATGAAATCGCCTTCCCAATCCTTGAAGACGGTCGGGCAAAATTGGTGCGTGCATTTGTTTCGAAGTACATGTGAGTGCTTCCATTACTTTCGATAGCGACTGTAGCAAAGAAGCCCGGCGGCAATTTTTACAACCTCTAAATGGAACCCGGTTCTCCTGCCGTTTTCTCACCTTGCTTTCGTTTCCCGTCTTGATTATGAAGAGCGGACACTGACCCTTCCAGGCGTTCCTACATGAATTCATCGATGTTCCGTCGAAGACTCGCACAGAAAATGCGGATTTCTTTCACTGTACTGTCCCACGACGTCCAGAGCTGTTTCGCAACGAAGGACCTGGTCTTATTTTGTTCTTACTGACGAGCGAGAAACAATCTGAACACAGTGTGATTCAAGAGGAAGAATAATTGGTCGCTCACAAAATCCAAGCTGGACAAGTGGATCGTAAATGTAGAACGCATGACGTCACGAACGCAGCTTTTCGCCGTACTGTACGAGTTCTATTCAAATGTCGCAGTCTAACATGACAGCGACGATAACTACGGCGCGCCATGTCACCAGCCGTAGAATGTTTATTTTATTTTCGATGGTGCTATCCTGCCATGCGTGATGACTGCTATCGATTTGTCGCTCGGCGCAAGGTGCGCAGAACGTGCCGTCAACTTCTTGCCATCGCAGCATCTCGACCCGAGATGGGTTCTTTTGATAACCTCATCGCGCACGACCTACACTTTTTCATATGTAACTTGATCAGGTTCCCAAACGCCCGTCAATTTTCCCTGAACTCGATCAACGTCCGCAACATCGCCATCTATTATCTGAACTTTCATGGACTCTCGACCATAGTGTAACTTCCGTTCTTATTTGGCCCTAACGATGAAGGTGCATAGCACTACGTTTTACGACATAGGCAACCATAGAGTGACTTTTTTCTGCAGACTGTGGTGGGGCTATGGTGAGCCCTGGCTTCGAGAAAAATAAGGATGATGTACGCTTGGCGAGCACGAGGAGAAAACTAGCTAGCAATCGGCCTGCCACCACAGTTGTTCACGACCGACAAGAGGATGGCAACCCGGCAAGACGTGATATGAACGCGCAACGTTACCCTGCAACAAGGGCTCTTGTAAGTAATCCTGCAAGCTTATCAGGAGAAGAGAACACGAGGCATGTCGTGGATGCAGCAGGGGCGCGTGGTATATTTCCCCCGCCTCGCGGGGTCCGTCGATCAATCGAAAACCGGCTGTCGGCATGGCTGACACACACACTAACACACACGGTGACAAGGTATGGTAGCGTCAAGTTCATGGTGAGTCATCATCGTCGTCGTCGTCTTCCTCGCCGTTGCCGCGGGGTCCCGAGGCCGACGCCGGTCCGGCGGGCGTCTGCAGCGCGTACCAGGCAAGAGTGAGGCGGCTCAGCTCGAGTCGGTCCAGGTGGACCAGTGCGGCGCCCAGCGGCTGGTTGTGCTCGAAGCCACGGGCCCGCTCCCAAACTGTGACGAGCAGCGATCGGCCCAGCACGTCGGCGGCCGTGTACTTGAGCGTCTGGCGGTACTGCGGCTCGCACGAGTGGCGGACGACGCGCGTCTTGCGCTTCTGCATCTGGCGGTCGCCCTCCTTGAGGTACGTTTTCACGTACGTGTCTGCGTGGACGGAGAGACGCGTATAGGAAAATTAGATAGGTACTATCTATCTATCTATCTATCTATCTATCTATCTATCTATCTATCTATCTATCTATCTATCTATCTATCTATCTATCTATCTATCTATCTATCTATCTATCTATCTATCTATCTATCTATCTATCTATCTATCTATCTATCTATCTATCTATCTATCTATCTATCTATCTATCTATCTATCTATCTATCTATCTATCTATCTATCTATCTATCTATCTGAGTGTCATGGGTGGGTTGATACGAGGTGGTTGTCTTTTTGAACGAGCACTCGTGCGAAACCCGGGACAAGTGAATCGTTTTTTTTATTGCATACACAACATATACACGCAGGTGCGTGAAGGGGAAAGGTGGGAAAGAAAGAACATAAGTTAACAAGAGAAGACATAGTAGTGTAGACAATGCTTTAATAGTGCAAACACCACTCAGACAAACATGTTGAGAATGGAAATTTTCTTAATCAGAACCGATGTTCGTGGCACACTGATGTGAAAGTCACAAATTTTTTATAGTCGGAAATTTTCATTTATTTCTTACACATGATACTATCTGTATCTCTTTTGTGCATCGTACTTGTATAAAAAAGCCTTGTAACCACATGGTTGCCAAAACCAACCTTCATGTGTGTTCGCTATGGCGGTCATTGACGCATGACCGCGCTTTCCGTGGAACTTTCTTCTGTTCATTCAAATTAGCTTATTAAAACATGTGTGTCCTTTATCGTGTGCTCACTGAATACAAGGTCTTACAAATTCAAAATACAGTATTCAATGAAGCTAGTTGATTCACGACTAGTACTGGTCTGTACATAGGAACAGAAAAAAAACAGGGACAAAGTGACGTCAGCTACGCCTTTGTCACCTCGCTTTGTCTCTAGATTAATCAGTTCGTTTGCTCAACCTAATATTAGCTACCGAATTCTTCCAGAGCATATTCACCAGCGTTCCGTAACTGATTACGTCCATATTGTGATTGAAGTCTGCTACCGCTTTAAATACATGTTATCGGCACTAGATAGTTTCGAATAATTTTGATATATATTGGCTTACGTGGGCTCGGCTAAAGACGGATAATGTTGGACGTCCACTAATATACTGACATTACTTTCCTTAATGTTTATTTCAATTATGAGTTGAACTATGTGTCAGTTGTTGTCACACATGTCCCGTTAATTAGGGAGGCGATCGCCGGGCTAATTCCAAAGGCCGAAGTATGGGCCCCCCGAACCACACCACGAAAGCGTGGACAATTTAGAAGTGGTCCTTTTTGGCGCGCCAGCGGACGCCGGCTGTGGCCCAAAGAACAAGTCAGAGCCGAGAGTTGATAAACAAAACAAATATTGTATTCTCAAAAATGGCAGATCGAAAACAATACACAAGAATGCACACTCCACAATAGTTACATACAATACGTCACCAATCAAACAACGTACTACACAGTACAATCATCCACACTCGAAACAACGGACACAGACAACAATACGCACTACAATGCAGTCGCATGCATTGAACAACCAAGACACTTAAAGACTAAAGAGATAGGAAACCTATTCAGTCCAAAGTTCTTGGAACAAAAGTCTGGATGATACTCTTCCGAGAATCACTCACTCAAAGTCCAGCGTTGTCGTTCCGCTGCCCCCGAAGTTTCTCTTCCAGGAAACCTCGCCCAAGTTTCTCTTCCAAGAAACCTCGCGTCTTCAATAGGCCACTCTCCAAGCTTCAAACTTCTTCGCCGGAAACACGTCGGCTTCACACACGCAGCTGTTGCCACGCGTCTTCGCTCGATAGCGGTAAACACACACTCTTGCCTGTAGCTCGAGTCGTCACCCCTCAGGTGGAAATCATCTTCTTCTCCTGCTTTGTCTCTACGGACAAAACCTTCGCCGACTACACGGCGGAATCCCTACGCGCTCTGGCGCTAACTTCCATCTTCTCCTCCGAGGTTTCTCTTCCAGGAAACCTCACGTATTCTCCTGCTTTGATTGATTGATATGAGGGGTTTAACGTCCCAAAACCACTATATGATTATGAGAGACGCCGTAGTGGAGGGCTCCGGAAATTTAGACCACCTGGGGTTCTTTAACGTGCACCCAAATCTGAGCACACGGGCCTACAACATTTCCGCCTCCATCGGAAATGCAGCCGCCGCAGCCTCTCCTGCTTTGTCCCTACGGACAAAACCTTCGCCGACTACACGGCGGGATACCCTACGCGCTCTGGCGCTAACTTCCGTCTTCTCCTGATCTCTCGTCTCCGCTGCTCGGTTAAATACCTTCCGCACGACATTCCAGAAAGTTCTCGTCATTTCGTCGGCGCGATACGCAGCGAAGGCTGGGTAGGGGGTGAGACGGTTCGAATGCCCTCCGCGATGGATGACTCAAACCGGCGTGACCACGCCTCTTTCGTTCTAGAATTCTCACGCGCTTGCTCGGCCGCCGATGTGGGGTGAGGAGGTTCGTCGGCGAAGCCACGCTCCCGAGAGGAGAGCGCGCGCCCCGGGGAGCCTTGGATGTTTGTTTCTTTTTTTTTTTTTGACCTCGCAGCGTCTCTTTCGCGCGTTATCGCAAGAATTTGGCGGCGCGCCCATTTTTAGCGCTCGTTCTGTGACAGTTGTCTATTTATAGTCGTTACTTCTTGTCCTCTCATTGTTGTATTGTTGCGGCTCGGGGTGCTGAGTCGTATCCCACCGCTGACGACCAGTTGTTGGGAATCCCGGGGTGCTGTGGTAGCGTGGTGTAGCTTCGGGTTGAGGAAACGACCGCTTACAAGATGGGGATACGAAAAACAAACAAGGTTTATGGCACTATTTACAAATATTTATAGCATGAGGTTAAGAGTTCACAAACCACGAGCGTGGTGGTTAAACCTTTAGTTGGTTCAGAGCTTCACAAACTACGAACGTGGTGGTTGAACCTTTCCTTGGTTCAGAGCTTCACAAACTACGAACGTGGTGGTTGAACCTTTCCTTGGTTCAGAGCGACGTCCTGCACTCTGCGGCGCCGTTATAAGCCCTCTCGGGCTCCTCCTTCTTCAGTGGAACACCAATCACATACACACACAACAGGTGAGGGGTACGAGCATGCACGGCGCACGTGAACAGCCAATTTCGAGTCAAGATCACTGCCCTTAAAGGTGGCGCCAGAGAGTCTCTTGCTCGTCGTGTATGTCGCTGGTCGAGGGGTTCCAAGCTTCGGACAGCAGACATCAAACGGTCCGCCAATCTGTCCGCTCAATTAGCAGAGCACTTTGTGGCGGCGGTCGCCGTTTCTACAAAGGAAGACGCTGTCTTTGTTGTCCCCTCTGGAACGGCGTACCGCTTCGTGGCGACGTGACGTCTCATCTGCCGGCTAGCCGGGACAATGTCTGGCGGGCATAGGCATTCGGCGAGCCAGCTACTTGTTTGAAGATTAAAAGAGCGCCACTCCCCCGTCAGTTCTCGACGCTGGTTCCAAGAAAACCTGGGTTCCAGGCGTGGGAACGTGGCCCGGCTACGCTTCTCAGCGACAGCATGGCGCCTACCGATGGCGGTCATAACAGCTTCCCCCTCGCCAGATGAGTCACGGAGGGCAGCGGTCAACACTGCTGCTCGCAGGGACGACGAAAAGGTCAGTAGTTGAATACCAGGAACTGGCCTTCGCTTGTGGCATGGTCCGGATGATTGCCGAATCTTCGACAGCATCTCTGATACTCGACCACCTGTACAAGCAAGCACTCGGCCCCCTTCGATCAAACCAAGCCAAAAGAGGGATGGAAACCAATTTTTCATTTCCTAGCTTTAACAAAAGCTCACACTCAAAACTCTCAGGACTCACTTGAGCTGAAAAACCGGACGTGCTACCTTACAAATTTACATAAGATGCACGAAAAAAACTAAAATATCAATTTTGATACAGAAAGAGCACCCCAGAATGGCTTAGAAAGAGCGGCTGAGCGTGTCAACGTTTCCATTCAATTTGCCCTTCTTTTACCTAATGCCAAAATGATATTTTTTTTTTCAAGAATCAAGCTCCGCCTCACAAGGCGACTGTTCTTCGAGGTCATGGTTTGCAGCCAAGTAAGGAGACACTGGTCGGTCTCTACTTTAAATTTAGCCCCCCTGAGATAACACTGCCACTGATGAATGCTCTACACAATGCAGGCGCACTCCTTTCCTGAAGCGCAGTACGTTATCTCACGAGAGCCCAAATTCTGGTGCAAGCAAAGCGCAGCTTTGCTTGATACCATTGTCGTCCTGATATAAAACAGCAGGCTCTTTTTCATCGCTGACTACTTTCATCGGTTCTGTCCCGCTGAGAGCATCGGTCAAGTACGCGAACGCTGAATAAATAAACTCGAATTCAGCGAGCCCTACATTCGTCCTAACGTCCGTCTGCGGCTGCCACTACTTGTCGACAACGGAGACATTAAGCTATCTAGCTTTTCTGAATCTTTGGCCTACACTGCGGCCAAAATACTCTTAGTTTGCTCAGAATTAGAAAAAGCTTACTGTTTCGCTCCCATGATCACTTGACTAATCGCTCTTCAAAATATAGCCAACAAAACATAGGAGACAAACAGTGTTTTTTAAAAGGCTCGTTTGGTTAAAGTTACCAGCTTATGCAAACGCTTCTGAGAGAAAAAAAAAGACACTGAGCTCTCCTGAGCTTTTTAATTACTACTCTCATTTCTACAGCGTTGCAAAATACCCGGCACTACTAACCAAATCTTAATCCTTCACAATTTGTCCAATTGCTCAGCCTTACGTTATGTTGTAATTCTCTGTGTACAACACAAAAATAATCCTGGGTGCGATACTCATCAAAAGCACCTCACAACAATTGCATAGGGTTTCGCTAAAACTGTGCACCAATGGCTCTCAATTCTCATAACGCGCAACGACAACTGCACTGTGTTGCGCCAAACTTAACCATTTTACGAAATCATCTGGTCTATGTTAATATCTTCTTCCCTAAATGCCAATTCACGCCACATCTACATGACAGTAAAGGCATACGATATTAAACTAAACCTTTGAAACACTAAAAAAACCAGAACAAAATTTTTTTTTAGTTTTTACCTTCTCGGTATATTCGTACAAATGATTAATGGACTTCAATTTTTAGCCTTTAGTTCGACGGTTTTCCTTTTCAAAAATTTACACCGCTTTACATTACTTACAAAATTAAAAGGCTCAAATCTGCATTTCCAATGCAAAACTGAGTAACAATATTTGACACGCCTGTGCAAAAGTTACTCGAACTGACCGTTCCCCCTTTTCTCATGGTTCCTTTATTCGTACACGATGGGGTCGCGGTCCCGGCGGTTTTCGAGCACGCCAGAAGCTACAAAATGCACAAACTCTAAGCAGTGCACTGCCGTCATACCTCATTTTCCACTTCTTCCTGTTCCCCTCAGGAATGTGAAAAGGACGCCAGAAACAGGGTGGAGACAGGGGACATTGTCTCTTTGTGCTCGCCCCGACGCGGTTTTTAGCCACTCTGTGCTTTCGACTTTGATCCTTCAGGCAAGGCCGCTTTCTCGAAGTCGTCGAGCGCAACCGCGCTTTTCGTTCGGGTAACGCACCTCGTTTCCCCCCTCTACACCTGGCTTGCTGCCGCTTGTGCCTCTCGGAACGCCACCATGGACGTTTCCTGGAACGGATTAACGGCTTAGCCTCTCGTCTTTCTTGCGACTGAGTGGGGCCTGACCTAGGCCTGCGCAGTGACGAACGCTTCTGCTTCTTTCTTTTTCTGCGATGTTTGCAAACCAGCTCGGTATTATCGCTGCACTGCTGAAGCGTGGCGCTCTTGCTCTCATCAGCCACTGCGCTAACCATGCCTAAATCAGACAATGTCGAAAGGTCCCCCTGAGGCACGAAGAAGGTTTCCAGCCTCTTACTGGGCCCATTAGGGCTGCTGGCACCCTCTTCATCCACGCAAGGAGCGTCTTTCGACATCGTCCTCACCTCCAGACCGGCCACGGCCTCGTTCTCTACATCATTTACATGAATGCATTCGAGAATATGCGGGCCCTTCTCTGGCGCAATCTGTTCTGGCCTTTCATGACGCGCTTCAACGTCCAGCGCTTTCCGACGCGCCTGAAGTTCCGGCTTTTTGCGACGCGCCTCGCTTTCAGACTCCTGTGCGAGTCTTTCTTTCTTTTTGCTAACAGAAGTTCCGAATCTTCTGATCAGCTCTGCTTTCACAACTTCGTAGTTGTTCGCGTACTGCTCACTGAGTCGCGCAACAACGTCCGCTGCCTCGCAGGGCAGAACCGTGCGTAGCTTCTGAGACCAGGTGTCTCGCTCACACTTCAGTTGCCTACACTTTCGTTCAAACAGTCTTAGATACAGGCCCATATCCCATGATACCTCATATGGCTGCATGTACCTAGACATCTCGAACTCTGCCTCATTTTCGAGTACTCCTTGCTGGCGTCCCAACCTCATACTCAACTCATAGTCTTCTTCGAAAAACTTTCTCTTGAGGCCTTCTCTTTCGTGTTCACTCTTTCCTTCCATCTGAGCTGCTCTTAGTTTTCTTTCGATGATGAGGTCCCATTCTTCACTTAGTTCCTCATCATCAGCCCCCAAATCATTAATCGCTTGAATGATTATGGGTTTTCGTGCCAAACCCTTTGTATCGATCCCCAATTCCTCACACAACAGCAACAAGTCTGACTTCTGCAGCTCCCGTAAGTCCATGATCATACTGAGTGCTCGCTACTTCCAAAATAACTTTCCGAAACGGCGAAACTGAGTCTTTCGGCAAAGTTAACTACCAGTTCTAAAATTTAACCCTCTTTTAGAACCTGGTTCACTCAAAGGAAAAGCCAAGCACTCACCCATACGTGATCCATGTCTCGAGCCAGCTGCTTCTCCTGGGCCGACTGTTGTTGTCACTTGTAGCTTCGAATCCCACCGCTGCCACCAGTTGTTAGGAATCCCACCGCTGCCACCAGTTGTTGCGGCTCGGGGTGCTGAGTCGTATCCCACCGCTGACGACCAGTTGTTGGGAATCCCGGGGTGCTGTGGTAGCGTGGTGTAGCTTCGGGTTGAGGAAACGACCGCTTACAAGATGGGGATACGAAAAACAAACAAGGTTTATGGCACTATTTACAAATATTTATAGCATGAGGTTAAGAGTTCACAAACCACGAGCGTGGTGGTTAAACCTTTAGTTGGTTCAGAGCTTCACAAACTACGAACGTGGTGGTTGAACCTTTCCTTGGTTCAGAGCTTCACAAACTACGAACGTGGTGGTTGAACCTTTCCTTGGTTCAGAGCGACGTCCTGCACTCTGCGGCGCCGTTATAAGCCCTCTCGGGCTCCTCCTTCTTCAGTGGAACACCAATCACATACACACACAACAGGTGAGGGGTACGAGCATGCACGGCGCACGTGAACAGCCAATTTCGAGTCAAGATCACTGCCCTTAAAGGTGGCGCCAGAGAGTCTCTTGCTCGTCGTGTATGTCGCTGGTCGAGGGGTTCCAAGCTTCGGACAGCAGACATCAAACGGTCCGCCAATCTGTCCGCTCAATTAGCAGGGCACTTTGTGGCGGCGGTCGCCGTTTCTACAAAGGAAGACGCTGTCTTTGTTGTCCCCTCTGGAACGGCGTACCGCTTCGTGGCGACGTGACGTCTCATCTGCCGGCTAGCCGGGACAATGTCTGGCGGGCATAGGCATTCGGCGAGCCAGCTACTTGTTTGAAGGTTAAAAGAGCGCCGCTCCCCCGTCAGTTCTCGACGCTGGTTCCAAGAAAACCTGGGTTCCAGGCGTGGGAACGTGGCCCGGCTACGCTTCTCAGCGACAGCATGGCGCCTACCGATGGCGGTCATAACAGTATGTACCCCTGTCTTGTATATTTGTTTAAACAATAAACATAGATTCAGGGATCGATTTCTTCTTTTCAACAATTTTCTTAAATATGAGAGACACCGTAGTAATAGAGCGTCAGATATTCGGAACACCTGTGGGGTGTTGAACGCACACCCAGATACGTGTACACTGGCCTGTACCGTGTCACCTCCATCGACGTGCGGGCGCCGTGGCAGTAACCCGCGTCCTTCCGGTCAGCAGCCTGACATCGTAACCACTGCCCCTCTATGGAGGCTGAGCGATCTCATTTACTCGTGCGGGAAGCTTGCGCATTTTTCCTTACTATAGCGATAGGTGTACGGCTCCTGGTACGAACACGGAAAAACGACTTTGTGCATGTGTCGACGTTGAGTCTCAGCCAATCTAAATATCTTCCACGCACGTGGGTTGCCATAACTACGGACATGTGCGGGGTCTCTTAGTTCCCTCCCGCACACTTTTCTCCGTCGGTCGGAGAAAGCAGCGAGTTGGCAGGCCGGCACTCCCAGAGGCCTCAACTCGCATTACTCCACTACAGCACCGGAAATGCGAAGGGAGAGTCGACACCGTGTCGGTGCTTGCTTCGTGGGGATGCCAATGCGGCATGTTTTTCAGCCGTAGTCGTTGCTATCATAAAAGCTTGCTTTAGGGTCTTTCCACGCGCCATCTACACAGCCACTACGCACATGGCGGGACACCTGCCGCACGCAACCGGAGGACGTGCGGCAGGTGTCCCTATCAACATTGATAATGAAGATCTTCGTTATCGATAACGATAACGAAGAGCCTATCGGCATCGCCGATAGGCTCTTTAACCCTCCACTTGCGTGCGGAAGGTGTCGCACCATGTGCGGTGCTTATGTGTGAATAGCGCGTGGAAAGACCCTTAACCGCGTTCAACCACGGTATTATCTGGGACGTGTAGTCGCCGCCAATAAAGGTGCTAGCGTCTCGTATAAAACACACGAATGAAGTAAATTAATTAAAAACAACTCACCTGGCGGTGTGCCTCCCGACCCGAGAGGCAGTCCGCGGGCGCAGACGACCTCGACTTCTAGCTGACCCTTGGTCATGATGAAACCCAGCTTGAGTTCGCCAAGCCGAGCCAGGTCTCGGCGCGAGTTCTTCTGGCCTGGTCCCACTTCTTGACGACAGCGCTCCGATCCGGAGCTGCTGTCTCCGCCATCGTTGCTCCCTGCGAGGTGGCGGGTATGCGCAAATGACATTTCGTTTCTCGACTCGAGAAGCTACGATTTCACGAATACATCAAGCTAGGCGCTAGATGGTACTTACTTAAGGAATCTATTTTATACTATTGAGCACACACACTAGAGGCTACGAAGAACTATGGATCGATTGAGCTACGGCTTTTCCACTGAATCAAAGGCTTACTACTTCATCGGTACTTGCGCATTTCAGGTTAGAGCAGTAAACCGCGCCCGTGCGTGTTACAACTGGCCTAAATGACACGTGTTTTAGCTGCTGATAACGGAAATGAATACGCCCGACATTTGCTTGAATTTTTCAGTTTTGATTTCATTTTCCTCACTTGCATATTCAGTTTTCACTGCAATAAATATAGTTAGAAGTCAGCGCACTGCGCCTCTGATTGTCCTGTACCACTTGTCATAACGCTGTTATGCTCTGCCGCGTAATGTAAAAAACTCAGAATTGCATGAAAGTCACCCGCATTTGACGTTTACTTCAATTATGTGGGCCCTGCCGCGGTGGTCTATAGTGGCTGCTGACCCGCTGGTCGCGGGATCGAATCCCGGCTGCACTTTCGATGGAGGCGGAAATGTTGTCACCTCGTGTGCTCCGTTTTGGGCGCACGTTAAAGAACCATAGGTGGTCGATCTCTAATACGTACTACGAACTCTCTAATACGTACTACGTAAGAGGCGTATGAGGAATAAATGGGTATGCACAGTGGACAATAAACACACGCAACGTACACAAAACATCAACGCAACACCAGCGCTCGACACGCTCGAACTAACCTATGCCGATGACATCGATGCCTATGGCAAGTATCAACAGGCTCATCATCTCCACGGTTCAATACATAAAACATAAGAGAACATTCTCATCATCAAAAGCGCACAGGCGGTTATGTATAAATACACGTACCCTATTCGCGCAGTCGTATACAAAGTATCCGTGCAAAAATTATCGTAGGAAACTTTGGCGCCGTCATCGTTTTGATACTAACCTAATACCACTGAAAAGACGGTCAGTACACAGAACGCAGTAGCCCAGAAAGCTGCAACGAACTACTTCGGCCTGCAAGAGCGGCGTTTCTCTATGACACCTGGTTTGAGATTAGCTCACGTCTGGACGTGCGTCATCGGTCACATGCGTGTGCTCGAAAGACGGCCATTTCACACCACGTGCTTTTCGGGGGACGCCACCGTTGATGTCCGAAACACGCCGCTCCAGTGTCCCAGACTACCGCGTTCATCTCTGCTTGCGGTCTTAAAGCTTTGTCGATCCTTCATTGTCAATACTTCATTTTCGAGTGCTTGAAGTAGCCTAAAAGAGCAAAGCTATACAATTTTAAGTGCAACCTAAAAAAATATGAATGCAAGACACTAAATTGTTTTTGACGTCACAATCGCAAGGACTACGCTTTGAAATGAATACGGGACATTAAATACAGTGTCAGCTGACATTGTAACAAACAGCAAAATAATAGGCATGCACACAACAAAACACAATTTCGGGTTTCGTAAAGGTCTTTGCAGGTACAACGCATGCTGCATTCCATGAATTTTGAGACATGTGCGGCTAGTGCCATTCATTTTTCTGTGCCGCCCGAAGCGGCTCGCTATTAATGAATGGTAAAGAGGCAGAATAAAAAAAACAAACAAAAACTTGTACCTTACGATTACAGTTATGAAAATGATGTCAAAGTTCAAAATTTTCGAGAAGAACTGAAACATTCCGGTAAAATTCTAGTAGTAAAGCTCGGAGCGAGTTCTTGCAGCATTTTAATGTTGACACCTGTGTATATTACAATATGTTAGAGGGCGGTTCAATAGGCTGTAATTGGAGTTTTATATATCCAAATTTTCTTGGAACCAACTACTTCGTTGTGTGACGCTGAACTTTTGCCAGAATGTTCTAGTAGGTCTCGCTATATTGAAAAGGGCACTTGTTTCCCTTTCCACTATGACGTTGTTTCACCGACAAGTGCTGTCACGAGGCGCAAGCCACACTAGAAGGAACTGCAACACGTCATAAAATTTAGAATGTTATACTCAGTCTGTACCCACGACGCAAGTGGTTGTGTTCACTCGGAATTTTGCGCCTGTGCCAGTGACAACGCTGCAGAGTATGCAGTGGTCTACAGGTCAAAGGAATGTCAGACTGCATGAAGGCCGCTCAACGCCAGCGCCGGCTGCAAACAGTTTCGTGCAGGCGCGGGGAACATCGCGCGTGGAGCTCCTCCGACGTGTCAACAGTTTCCTTCACGACGAGTTTAACCCCCGTATTCACAAACGCTCCTCGACCTCGACTTTCGGCCTTCACTTGACAGAGTTGGGCACTGCGCCACCACTCGGCTGAAAATGACGCTGCGCTTCTCGAGAATCGCACCCCATTATCGCTGATATGCAGTGACTTGCCGTGACTAGAGAGGGCGCTTCCATCGGCTTTCTCTAGTGAAGGTGAAGCGTTGAGTGAAGGGGCGTTCTAGAATACGGGGGTAAGCTAGGCAGCGGACGGCGAACGAGCTCCATCCACGGCGCACGCTACTCCTGCAAAAATGACCGGCGGAGGCTCCGAGTGACCACCGAGCGAACCAAGGTTCCCTTTATCGGTGGGCTGCCGGACATGTTACTACACGAACGAATGCCAACGTGTTTCACGCGCTGATAAGATTGCAGACTACCCATTATCGCATTCGCCGCTTTCGTTGTAATGCGCGTCTTTCGAGTTGCAGGTCATTTAGACCAAAATTTTCATCTCTTGCCGGGGGTAGCTATCTTTGGTAGGGCGTTGCAGGTGATGTTAAACTGACGACCACCATAGAATCCAGCCTCTTCTTATCGAATGTCTGTCCTGGATAGTACGCTGGTAGCGCCCCCAGATGACAACTTGTGTGAAGATTATGTATGCTGGCTCTAAACGTGGGGGCAAGAGTAGTAGACATGTTTTCTCGTTACCAATTTCACTGCCGCATTTCCCCCCGTCAACTCTGCGCGAGGTCTCGTTGAAGTTCTGCTTTCATGTGCCGTACACCCCTGAAAGCCGTGAAGGAAGACACCGACGTTAATGCTGAACCACCGACCCAGACGATGACTGCAAAAGCTGTTGCCATAGTGTAGCTCATGCCAAGGAGACAAGGGAAAGGTACGACTACAACGGCATCTACAAGAACAGCAGTCTGCTGCCTGTGATCGTACTGCGGCATCCCAGGCAGCCGCGTATTTCACGGATCGTTCTCCGAGAACATGGCAAGTTGGTTGCTAACACACTACTGCGTCTTCATGCATCTTCAATAGCCGGTACTCCGAAGACAAGTTGCATAGTGTCTATTTCGACTTTAAGGGACACCGCGAAGACTTGCTTGAAGAATCGAGAGCCTGCACATCGTACCTGGGATTCCTTACCGCCATATTTCGTGGCCACGAACGAGGCTCGCAAGAAGAAAACAGCTTCGCTGGAGACACTTGCGCACCTACCGGAGATGAAATTAGCTCGATGCACACGGGATATATGACTCGATCACTTCTTTCGCCACATGAATTCCAGCACGTATAAGGGGAAGAATGCCCGCTACCTTATGATAGGAGTGGAACATGAGCTGTTCACTGGTTAAGGAGTCCGCCAGAGACAATGAGTTCGTTTCAAAGGCGTCAACGACCTAGAGAAGGCTTGAGATGCGAACCACAGGCGTCGCAACGTCACCTCACTGGCGAAAAACCGTGTCAAAGCTCAAGCTCCAGACAGCGGCGACTTGTGTCGCCGCTGTCTGGAGCTTGAGCTTTGACATGGAGCTTTGACATGGAGCTTGAGCTTTGACCATTCAAGCTGCGTTAGTTCCTTGAGTCGGAACTTGAAGTGAATGGAATAGCCGACATCATGTGCGAGGAAATCCAATATCACCGGGAACCCTTGAATCAACATGACCTCAGCAGCCAGACACCATAAGCAGAGCTGTAAGCAGTATTTCTGCAAGAGAAAGTCCATCTTTAAAAACTAGGTTTGTCCATCGAGTGTGCATTTTCTCTCCCGACTATTAGTAACGATGAAGTGGCACAGCCGCTTTTGAAGGATGACATCATGTTCGCATGTCTAAACCCTTGGTCAATATCTTTAAAGACGATAGTCTTTCTTGGGGACCTTCGACGCGAAAAGTTTGGTCTGTATGTATGTACATTTGTCTGTTTGTCCGCCCTTAACGGTACTCTAAACGGCACCAAGGTGGCCAAACGATACTCCAAAACGGCCGACCCCATCCGCAGTGACCACCAATATTGCTCAAGATTCAGCGTTCATACTTGTGCGATTGTCAATTAAAACAATTATTTCGCATATATGAGGCACCATAACAACACGTATATACTCTGTATGTGTGTCTCTTACCAGAAAAGGCATACATAAGTAATTCTAAGGACCGTAGCGTTTATCACGTTGCTGACCATGCAACGCTTGCACGAAAAGGCAAGTGTTTCCAACGCTTCGCTAAGACGACACGGTGGTGGCACCTATCCGTCACCTTGCGTTCTACACCTTATCACCTCCGAGAGGGGCACGCAAGGCGCGTGCTCTTCGTTTTCTAAGATAACTGCCAGATAGCGCTCATGTCTCACGTGCGACGTGACTTGATGCGCTCGTTTGCCTCAGCTGCACGCTCGAGGCACTGTAACGCAGCGCCTCCAGAATACCATTCACCAATTTTCTTGCACAGAACAACTGATAAACGTTTTGCTCACTCTCTCCAGACGCAAGACTATCGTCTTGCGACGACATTTACAATGTAACAGGCAGATACGAGGCCAATTTTTTCTTATTTATTTATTTACAAATGCTTTACAGGACTCATTGGCATCTCAACGAGTATCTTACTGAAGGCACAATAACGTAAACAGAAATGTAAGGGTACTTTTATAGTGCTTTATTTCACCAAACTATTGAAGCATATCCCGTCATTTCCGTACCCTGCAGGTAAACTTTGTAGCCTCCGAGAATGCTGGCACCAAAATTTCCTCTCTTGTAATCTTTACAGGAAACTTCCCACCATGCTCGCGGAAACATTTTTCGTAGCGCGTTCTGTGACGCCACTAAATCTAAGACATATCTACGTGCGTTCACAGACGTCCACATGTAGACAGACATAGGTGGCGCTAGCTTCGGCGGCCTACCTTTGTTGACCGGGACGTGGTTGACCCTTTCGTCCGACTTGAGGCTCACCGTCCGTGAGAGTTTTCGCCTCGGAAGCGACCGCCTCTCGTCCATGGCTACGCGAGGGAAGGGGAACGCACAGCAGGCGACGCATGTCACTACAGTTCGCCTCGACCACTCACAAGAGAGATATGAGGTGCACCACTGTATCTACAAAACCACGCGCAGCGAGTGCTGCGTCACCGTCAGATGTTAAAACACCGTATAGGGCAAGTACGAAACAGAAAGGACAAGAAGACAAACCTACGCAGGACTTTATCAAATGAGCGGGACTCAGTGATGCAACAAGGCGAAATAGCAGCAACGCGAGAGATGAAACATTGAATACGAAGCGCTGTTGCTAGCATCGCAGAGTTTCCTATAGATACACCAGAGGGAACTCTGGCGCTTGTGTCAATGGGAGCTACAACGCATGGCGCTTCAGCGAGCATGGGAATGATGGGTAGTGCAGAAGTCTAATCTTCCTCCTTTCGACTTCGTTTGGATTTGTGTGGCTTGGAACTGCTTTGTCACGAAACGACAATCGGAAAATGCTCAGCAGTAGCACGCCACCACCTTAACCTGTTAGGTTAACCAATTTGAACAGGCTCGCAAGGTTCACAGCGGTTCATTATTTTATTCGAAACAAAACCAAACCACTGCAATAAACAAAGTCACAAATGCGTTCGAAGCCCGCAAGCACGAAGACTAGGGCGAATTTGTGTGCTACCCATCATTGATATGGTTGCCGACCGATCTCAGCGCCAGAAGTACCCTCTAGTTAGGTTTAGGAAGCTCTATGGTTAGCACAGTTTCATCACACTTTAGAATGCAAACCATGTGGCCCAGCTGAAATTTTTCATGCATAACGGGTCACAATTAAAGGGAACATCAGTGCTGGTGGGAGCCGCTGCCGTTTTGCGGCTGCGAGATTTGCGCTGGCGCAATAAATGCCATGCGTAGTGTTCTTTTCATACATTTCGTATTTCGTGAAGGGTTCACTTCTTAGCGATTCGGAACGCGAAACCAGACGTTAGCGGATGACAAAAGAGAATCATTCGTAGCACCCACACGAAATTTTTTTCCCTTCTGATGGAGGTTCCCACTGGACGCACTGCGACGCTCCCTATAACAGCGGGCCCCTGTGTATACGACGATGAAACATAATCGTGTAGGCGCTGGTCGTGTAGAGGATGTGCAAGTCGCGGGGCTTATTCGGAGGTAATTTCGCCAGATGGTTTTCTAGGAAGGGTGAACTCAAACCGACGAAACATAGCATCAGTCGATGTGCACTATATTTGTGTTTGACTTATGAATAATTGGTAGTTCAATTCTTGATTCCTCCTCTGTTTGTGAACTTCATAGTTTCGTCATGGGTAGGATTGCCATGAAATCCTCTCCAGCTATCTCTTAATGATGTTTGTTTCATTAGGAATATAATCCCCTCTCCGGAACGCTCCTTTTTTTTTTCTTTTCCAGTGGTTAAAGTGACTCTTTCTTTGCCTACCATCTGCTGGGTTTTCTTTCGTCAGTCTAAATGTCTTGCCAAAAGATGCTCAGTGAGAAAAAGAAAAGAAAAATAGAGAAGGCTGAGCAGCACGACGCTACCCGCTTGGCAGCCATAATCGCAAGCGTTGAGAACAGCGACTGCACAACCTGAGATTTTTTTTTCCTTTTTTTCTTTACCTTATAAAATTCAGTGAGGCTACGTAGTCACGTGTCTGTTCACTTCTGCGTATTCTCACAGAAGATACATTATTACGCTTTTATGCCCGTTCACGCATGTCTGATGGTTGTGTCTGTTCTACACTGACCAGAACATGGCGCGAGCATGTTGCACGAACGATGATAACGGAAATTCAGTTACAAGTCGTAGTGCTTTCGAACGCACGTCTTGTCTTTTCTGTTTCGTATTTGTCAGCCAGTGTGCACTTAAAACACGGTCAACACATATTGCGCGTACTTTCATGCAGCCTGTAGTATTTCAATAAAGTAACATAGGCGAATGCCATACTTTAATATACTGCACCCGAAGCAGCACCCGTAACGAACCCCATTCACCACAGAGTTTCCCAAAATTAACTAGAGGGGACTCTGGCGCTGCGATCAGTTCAGCGAGCATGGGAATGATGGGTAGTACACACATTTGCCTAGTCTTCGTACTTGCGGACGGCGAATCGTACTTGCGGCTTCCGTTTATTGCCGTGCTTCGGTTTTGTTTTGAGAGAAAGATTCAACCCTTTTGAACTTCACGACCCTATTTCGAAAGGTAAGTCTGAAAAAATAAGATAGTGAACCGCAACCGCTGAACATTCGCTAATATTTGTTTCGTGAAAAAAACAACTTCAAGCCACACGAACACACACGGAGCCAGAAGCAGGCCTCAAGTACGAATATTAGACAGATGTGTGTACTACCATCATTCCCATGCTCGCTGAAGCGCCGTGTGTTGCAGCTTCCATAGACACTAGCGCCAGAGTTTCCTCTAGTGTATATTATGGAAACTCTATGTCATTCACAGTCTGCACCCTTACGGTGAAAATCTTCACACTGCGCACTGACAAGGATGCGACGTTCAAGCATCAGACGGCACGATCACTCACCTGTGGTGTCCGGAAGATTGACGTTTCTGCGAACCTTGAAGCTGGCGCTCTTGGCTCTTTCTGGAGTTTGCGTCGGCGAGGACGCGTACAGTTCTGTGGAAAGGGCAAAGGAGTGGGTGAGGGCGAAACCTAATGGTACAGAGCAACCTAAAAAAAAGCAAGGCATGTAAGAAGATGATAGCTGAAACTGTTAAGATCGACAATTTTTTTATCAATTAATCAGTGTTTATTGAATAAATATATACAAAAATGGTTGCGAAAGTATTTGACCACCAGAACGTGTGCTAGTTACAGGTCTAATCTAATCGATTGATTGATATGCAGGTTTTAACGTCCCCAAACCACCATAGTATTATGAGAGACGCCGTAGTGGAGGGCTCCGGAAATTTCGACCACGTGCACCCAAATATGAGCAAACGGCCCTACAGCCTTTTTGCCTCCATCGAAAATGCAGCCGCCACAGCCGGTATTCGATCCCGCGATCTGCGGGTCAGCAGCCGAGTACCTTAGCCACTAGACCACTGCGCTTGTGAACTGGTAAAGTCTATTAGATGGGTATTTTACTACATGGAAGGAGCAGACGCGCTTTTAATATGGTCACGAATTTATATACAAATTCAATGACAAGGTAGCTTTAAAGGTATACTATACTCAATTGCCATGACAATACATGCAATATTGCTGCAATTTTATAAGTAAAGATTGAATGAGCGAAAGAAAAAATACATTTATATGGTCTGGAGTCAAAGTGTGTGGTCTTTTTGGGAAAGTTAAAAAATAGTTCATGAACACTACGTGAAGGATTGCGGTTACGGATTTTCGATTATCGAAACAGCTGAGCAGCAGGCTAGTTATTGCAATGACAATGGTATTTAGTATCAACTTCGCATAAACATGGTGGTGACCACTGATTACATGATTTCTTTGTTAGAATGATATGTTACTCCATATATTACTGTCTAGTGTCGCGACTTTTTTTTTATTGCAAATGTCAGGTCATGTAACGAACTGTTCTCTATACGCTCGAAGTGACTCCGTTATGTAAATGAATCTGTTCCGCGCGTACCCGTTCATGATGGACCCCACGACACCCCCTAACTCCGTGACTGTCCCGATTCCGTGATTATACCCGTGACTCCTCGACACACCTTGACGACAACTTCGCATAAACATGGTGGTGACCACTGATTACATAATTTCTTTGTTAGAATGATATGTTACTTTATATATAACTGTCTAGTGTCGCGACTTTTTTTATTGCAAATGTCAGGTTATGTAACGAACTGTTCTCTATACGCTCGTAGTGACTCCGTTATGTAAATGAATCCGTTCGGCGCGTACCCGTTCATGATGGACCTCACGACACACCCTGACTCCGTGACTGTCCTGATTCCGTGATTATACCCGTGACTCATCGACACACCTTGACGACGTTGGGTGCTGACGAGCCGAGACCCGAAGGTGCTTCGCACTTAAATGAGTTGAAACAGCCTCTCACCTGGTAGGCTGTCCTGGGCCAGCAGCTGACGGTTCTTCGGATTCACTGACGTGGAAACCGAGTACACAGACGGCGCTGACGACTTACGCTCCACGGGGTTACCCTGCCAGGCATCGTCCGGATGAAGCACTGCACAAGTGATTGTTGTGACGAGGGAAATGTAACAGAGTAACTTTTACATTGTTTGTGCATAATTAGAGCCTCCACAGTCGGGATTTAACATGGAAGATAATCACGGCGGAATTTACAGCACCACTAATTTTACATTGCAGTGTGGACGCCAAGTATTCTCAGCATTTGTTGCGTACACGAGACTGCAAACTTTTTACGTTTCAGGATATGTCTGTCAAGCTAAGCGCCAAGATATTCAACACTCCTTGCTACGCATAACATTCTCACTTTCTTGCGATGACAATTCTTAGAATAGTTGTCACTTGGAAGCCAATGTTGCGCATTGCATTGGCTCTTTATATTTCGATCTAGAACGGCATTTTCTCGTGAAATATCCCTTTAGTAATCCAGTATGAAGGTTGAAATATTTCGCGTAGTATAACAACGGTCATTACTAACGTTGCGCGGTCATTTCCACTCGTTACGCAAGCACACATGGTCACAAGGTAAGGAAACAGGCGTCACGTTGTGTACGACTGGATTGCGGGCACTCAGAATATTTATTCTGGTGACTAATTATTCTTCAGTCGCCAAACGGACGCAACTCGGCAACTTTGTCATTCATATATAGCCTTGACTAACAGTTAACCACCACCACGGTGCACGCTGCACGACCAGACATAGTTCATGAGCACATAACGATGGCAAATGCAAAACCTCTTCGTCCAGAGTTCTCATCTTCTTAAGAACGTGTTTTATGTCATCACGAAAGTTACAGCTAATAAAAACAGAGAGCTCAACTACAGCATCATCATCCTCGTCATTCATCATCGTCATTTCTCACACCACACCACGCCTCTCGCCCCACCACGGTGGTTTCGTGGCTAAGGTACTCGGCTGCTGACCCGCAGGTCGCGGGATCAAATCCCTGCTGTGGCGGCTGCATTTCCGATGGAGGCGGAAATGTTGTAGGCCCGTGTACTCAGATTTGGGTGCACGTTAAAGAACCCCAGGTGGTCGAAACTTCCGGAGCCCTCCACTACGGCGTCTCTCATAATCATGTGGTGGTTTTGGGACGTTAAATTCCACAAATAAATCAATCAATCAATCAATCAATCAATCAACACCACGCCTCTCGCGTACCTCGTGCCGAGCGCGTGGCGCGAGCAACAGAGCAGGCTCATGCGCCTGGCGTGTCGGAATCTGACAGACGCTGCGGCGCTGCAAGGGTTTGTGCGAAGAAACACAAACCCTTGAAATTATCTTCCTTCGGGGCATTGGAGTTCTAGCCTGTCTGGATTATGTACATAATAAAGGATTCTACTACTACTACTACCTACACAACTACGACACTCACGCATGGAGTCCATGGATGAACTCCGGATGAGGTCGTCGGGCGGCAGGTCCTGAGAGTGGGTGCGGGCGGCGCCTCCGGCGCCCCTGGACAGCGGCAGCCATTCGGCGTTGTCCCTGAGCGGCGTCCGGTCGAGCGGGAGCTGCACCTCCCCCAGGAAGGCGTTGGTGCCGACGGGCCGGTGGTCCCACACGGTCAGGTCCAGGAAGAGGCCCTCGAGGGACTCCAGCGAGCGGAACACGAACGTCTTGTTCCACTCCGGACCGGTCACGGGCTCCGATATTGGGGTCTTCATGGCCGGACCTCGCAGACCCGAGCCGGGCTCGTGCAGTCGCAGCTTGACGTACGAACGTCGGGGAGGAAGACCGCGTGCGCCCAACACGGTAACCTCCAAGTCGGTGCCGTCGTACCTGACGTTGGGAAGAATCGGCGGGCGATACAGCGGTATTCGCGTGGGAATTGTACAGTTATTGACCGTTTATTATCGTCAATTTACCATCGTAGCTGAGGTATATATGTATAACAGCAGGCCACCTCGTTCAGGTGACTCTACCATTAGTCACCACTTGAAGATTACGAAAAAAACATGACTGGTACTACACAAGAAAACATGGTATACACTTCATCTGAGTTGGTACACTTCTTCGTAACGCTAAGCCATTAACAATGCCAATTAGTTGAGAGAAACTGAAGCGTCATTTTGTCCCTCTCTGCTGACCAGAGTGCTCTTGCGGTAAAATGCTGGATTCAAAGTGCACCCTGACTGTTCTGTGGATGGCTGCGGCATCAAACCCTTTTTGAGGAACACAAGTTATAGGGGGGAAATGAGGAAAGTGTAGACTACGAAAGAGCAGTGACACTCTTCATAGAACGTTGGTTTCCACTATATACGCCAAATCAAAACCTAGATGCTCCGCAATTGGCTTGTAGGACAGCGAAGCTTACACAATCTCTGTCTGGCACAGCTGTGTCCTGATAGGTTACAGCTAGCTTGCCAGGTGGCAAGAGGGGCTAGATGTTCATCCAAACGAGTATTTTCCCAACCACCTGAAAGTGCAGCTTCGTGCGTGTATACGCAAGTATTGGCTCTGCTTGACCTTTCTTCTTGTCATGTAGTATGCGTACATTTTACCCAGTGCAGAATATCAAACCGGACGTCCGTCTTACCACGCACAGTGACGCTCTATGGGACTTCGCGGATGCGTGTGGCCTCACGAGTTCAAAGATTGCGCGCGGCTTCCACTAGCCCTAATTTCTACAACTAAACGCGTTTCAGTTGCTTGGGTATGTATTCGAAAAAGAAAACAATATTTAGTTGTCGAAATAAAAGACTAGTTGAAGACATGCCTGTCCTGTCATTTGTTGCCTGCTGGCTTTACACAACTGTTAAGGGTTTCAAAGTAAAAAAAAACTGAAAAAACCTCGCTGGTTCTTTTCTGCATTGGACTATGTTAACCGCGTAAGAGGACCTCGAAGCTTAAATTCATATCCGCTTTCTTTTTTGTCTATGAGCTAATTTTTTATCATCTCCTCCCACCCACCTTCCAAAATTTATGCGCCTGCCATGATTTTGCATTGACTTCGAGATCGGAGGCATAATGAGATTTCTGTAGTTCACTTTGTTTTGTATTGCCTAGGTCTTGTATTGTATTGCCTAGGCCTAGGTCTTTGTATTGCCTAGGTATTACGCGGTATTTGTAGGTTCATCTCGGAGGCAATACAAAACAAAGTGAACTACAGAAATCTCATTATGCCTCCGAGATGAACCATCCTTTGCTCAAGCTACAATTTAATGAGACTTCCTCATCATTGTCGGCAAGTTGTGTGACGTCGTAGTGTCGTCACGATGACGAGGCAAATTTTGGCAATCTGTGATTACCTATGGTGACGTTATTACGTGATAATATTTATTTTTTTGCATCAGTCGTGCTGACGACGTAGACGCTGAGCTTTCGTATTTAATGATGGCATTCAAGGCTTTCGGCTTCAAACGATTTTCTCGATTCATTACACGTATTTCGTTTTTTTAGCTTGAGTATAGAATGCAGTACCGCGATCACATTGAAAGCGCGAGAAGTGAACACCGCATGTCATCGTGCTTCTTCGGTGTGAGAGCGCTGCATAACCTTGAATGCGAAAACAGAACAACTGGCTTAGCTTTTTTATGTTGAGGCAGTGCAACGAACAGGACGATTGCCTGGCTGCACTACTTGCCCTTCTATTACACGCATATATAGCATAGCGCTGACGAGTGATAAGGAGCCAAATATGGAAAGAGCGTCGTCGGGTAACGTGAAGCCCATACAGGTATAGCACGTTCTCACCACAGGCGGACGCCGAGCTCTCCCTGGACGTGCGCCTTGTTGCAGATCTCGTCGGGCGTCTTTGGAAGCTTGCGGCGAGTGGCCGCTCCTTCGCCCACGGAGCAGGTGGACGACTTGCGCGACGGGATGTTGCCCGTGGACGCGCGAAGCTCGCGGTTGCTCCTGCGACATTGAAGACGTATCGTGGAACACGGAACGTTGGGATGTGTGTTACGGTATAGACGGGGCAGGCCGTATCAATGAACGCGCACACTTTGCAACTACAACGAAGTTCGAGGCATATAAGCCACTGACATCGGACACGAAACTCGCGACGTTCTGCTCTGCTGCAAGACGCATTGAAGCAGTTTAGCGTCCTAATGCCTTGCTATACAAATTTCAGATGTGCTAGTGTTGGTTTATTTGGTAAATATAGATAGATAGATAGATAGATAGATAGATAGATAGATAGATAGATAGATAGATAGATAGATAGATAGATAGATAGATAGATAGATAGATAGATAGATAGATAGATAGATAGATAGATAGATAGATAGATAGATAGATCTACGATGTCGGGGGAACAGCCTAGAATAAGACAGTCTGGCTGTAATAAAACCATACACTGGTAATATAGAATATAGCAGACGTCTTTATGACCGTCTGCTTCGTTCGGCTGCCATGATTGCCTACCGGGTGGTAATACAGCGCTGGCTCGGCGACCAAGTACATACGTTAGACAAAAACAAACAAACAAACAAAAACGTTGGCGGCGGAGACGAAGTAAGGCGTCAAGTTGCGTCCGGGGGCAGTAGATTGTTTAATATCCTTTGGTTCTTCCTGTATGACCGACCTTAACGTGGTCTGTTCTTTTACTGGGTAGCAAATAAACCGTGCATCGACCCTCGGGCGTCGGTTTACGATGTCGAGACCTCCTTTTATGGTTTGTGTCGTAAACTTTCTAGTGTGGTTTATCTGCCGAAACGCAAATGATGACATGTTACGTCGTCTACAGTTCGAAGTGTGTACGTCGGGTTCATAGATTCCACATCTATGCCTGTCTTTCTTCATATACAAATAGGCACGGCTGCATGCATGCTATGCTGGCGAAGTGAAGAAAAACGAAGGGCATAAAAAGAACAGCCAGCCTGCAGCAAGGGCGCTTTGTCTAGTTTCTCTGTTGTTACGTGACGATGGCGCAGTCGTTGAAAAGCCTGGCGTGGCTTGGCGAATTGCAGCTACTAGCGTGGTGTAACCCGCTTTTCTGGGGAACGGTACCTGCTAGTCAGACACTGCCTCAAGAACGCTCCCTGGCAGGGATATACCCCCTAGCTACAGGTGCTGACAAAGCCTGACGAGAAACTAGCGCAAACGCGGAGACCGTGCCAGGTAGTCTACGCCGGAAATTCCTCTTCACGTTAGTTTCTGCGTACTTTCGGGTTTTTAAAGCGCCAAACATTTCAGACTGCTAGCCCTACACAGGTTCACTGTGAAAACGATGCAATTCTAATTTTAAGGCTCATTCACAGCTGCAACCCACACCGTTCATAAAGTTACGCGTGGCCCTGAAAAGGCGAGCACGGTACCGGAATAATATACGTAAGCCATAACCGGAAACAGCTTCAATGGCCTTGTAAATTTAAAAGTCATGAGGCAATAATGCGGACTTTGTGTTTTTTCGCTTTCTGCCGGCAACAAACCAAATTTTCTTTGAGAAAGGAACAAAGGGTTGAACAGCAAGTCTTTTGTTTTACCTGTCTCGTCCTCGTCTTTTCAGTGCCGCGCTTAAATTTACGAACATGTCACGCTAACAAGGCCACCTGTCTACCCTTGCTTAGAATAGCTACCGGTCTCGACTGAAAAGCAAAACGCGATTCTACGCAACCGGCGTGGACATCTACGTGAGACTCATATACACACCGTCACACAGAGCTCACGTCTGTTCCCATAGTGGGTGTGTCAGCTGTTAACTTGTTACAGGCCAATCTCCCTACTGTGCTCCTGCTCAAAGACGCTAGAGCACATAATTTTCGCGCACATATCGTCGTTTCTGGAAAAGAACAACCTTATTGATAATAGGCAACATGGTTTTCGCAAAGGTAAATCTACAGTGACGGCACTCCTTGAAACCGTGCATGATTTTGCTGCTGCTATTGATGCTCAATCTCAAATAGACGTGATTTTTTTGGATTTCCAAAAAGCTTTTGATTGTGTTTCGCATTCAAAACTAATAATAAAGGTTAGGGCAATTCTAAAGAATACTGCATTAGTATCGTGGATAGAGGCCTACTTGCGCCACAGACAGCAATGTGTTTCAATTGATAATGTTTGCTCAACTCCTGCAGCTGTCGGGTCGGGCGTTCCACAAGGGTCGGTGTTGGGGCCGTTATTCTTCCTAATATTTATAAATGACATAGTTGACCAGATACCGGTCAAAATTAAACTATTCGCAGATGACTGCGTAATTTATCACAGAATTGACAACCTTCATGACCACGTCCAACTAAAAGAAGCTCTTCAGCACGTTGAGAAATGGTGTGAAACCTGGCAAATGAAAATTAACCCCCAAAAGACCGTTCTCATGAGGATAACTAGAAAGAATTCACCGCTACAGCTTAGCTACAGCTTAAATGGAAGCGTATTATCCAAAGTAAAATCTTTTAAATACCTAGGTGTCATACTCACATCGGATCTTCGGTGGAATGAGCACATTTCTTACATAAAGAAAAAAGCAGTAACTAAACTAGGATACTTAAGACGAACTTTGCGCCAAGCTCCTCAAGATATGAAGCTATTAGCCTATAAAACGTTTATCCGACCAATAATCGAATACGCATCGATAGTATGGGACCCTCACACGAAAAGGAACATTGTCCACTTGGAAAGTGTTCAAAGAAAATCGGTACGCTTTATTTTTAATATGTACAGCTGGCGGACATCGGCAAGTACGTTAGTGGAAAGGGCTGAATTGGAACCCCTGGAATTACGACGCCACACGGAAAGACTAGGGTACCTATACAAAATTTATCATAATAAAATAGGAATAGAAAGGGATCATTTCATTCAACCTGTAAGTAAGCGAATCACACGTTCTCATCACTCAAAAAAACTACGAGACTATAACTGCCGAACAGATGTATTTCACAACACATTTTTCTCACGAACAGTAAGGGAATGGAACGAGCTCCCAGCCGATGTCGTGGAACGCATGACCACAGCAGATTTCATTTCAACACTTCAGGCTCATTTGACGACTGTGTAAATGTACGAGTTTACTAATCTTCTTTGTATATGTTCACTTGTGTGTTTCTACTTTTATGTATCGTCACCTTATATGTAAGGAAATACATATATTCTTTTATTCCATGTATGTATTACTGGCATTTAGAATATAATGGTTACAGTGTAGTTACCTACTGCTGTGATGATCGATATAACTGATGATATTATTGCTGTAGAAGAGTACCTAGTGTGAAGCATGCCGTTATCGCTTTCTTTTGCGCAGTATGTATATATATCATCTTTGTATTCCCACTCCTGCTTACAGCCTTTTTTAGGCTAGCAGTATTTTGCAAATAAATAAATAAATAATAGCCTTAATTTTTCATTTATCCCTAAAAGTGAGCTGACGTCCTAATCCTGCGCAAGCGATCGGTTCAGACGTTTGGGACCGCAGTCAAGTGACTGGATAACTGAGCAGCGAGCGAGTGGGCTGAGACAGTCACCTTATGGCTAAAAAGGTCATTTGTGACCATTATCGACTGGTTTTATTGCGACCACGTTGTAAGGAAAATAATTATGACGAAACAAGTGCTAAATATACACAATGTTTAGCGCCTGTTTCATCATGAACCTTTATTAACATGTCAAACTGGCAGTCATCCAGAAAAATAATGCTCGCGACTAACTTGGCCTCAGATGTTAACGGTCCTTCTAGTGCCGTGAAAATCTCGTTTCTTTGCGTAGCGTGAAAAAACAAAACGAGTGCAGGCTCACATCTTTCTTCCGGTCTCGACGACCAGTTCGACGCTGTGCGGTGACTTGTCCAGTATGGCGCACACTTCCTCGTACGAGCGGTCGACGAGCGACGTGCCGTTCCACTCGAGTATCACGTCGCCCTGCTTCAGTCCGGCCAGGTCGGCCGACGAGCCGGCCAGCACCCAGGCCACCGCGGCGTACAAGTGGCCGTCCGGCGCCTTCTTGCCGCCCATCACCCGCATGCCGAACCCTCGTGCTGGAAACGCGTGGAGGGGATAAGAATGGGAACACGCATGGCGAACTACTCCTGAAGCGTTCGGGCGTTCGAACGAGCCTTATACGACACGAGTGGTAATGACGTGTGGGTGCAGACCGTAGCTCGGCAATGTAACTGGTGAGTCGACTCGCTCAGACTCAGATCGAGGAGTGACGTCAGAGTGAGCAAGAGTGAAGAACAGTTCGGTGAGTTTGAGTCCGAGTGAGCCCAGTTGAGAAAAATGTTAAGGCTGAATCCGAGTGAGTCTTAAGCGCAAAATATTCATGATGAGTGAGTCTTTGTGAGCTCCATGTTGTTTGCCGATCTATGGTGCGGAGTAACAATGCACAAAAAATTACAAGGAGACCGTCATGCCATCGCTTAACATGACTCCAAGGCAAAAGACGTCTTTTATTTTTTTTTTCTCTCGAGTATCATCCGCCTCGTTCCAAAAGCATTCCCACAGACAACGTAGTTTTGTATTGCCTCCGAGATTGGATACATTGTAAGTCATAGAGTTTCATACAATAACATCTAGACAGGAATCTGGCACTGCCATCATGTACCCCCTTGAGAATTATGGTAAGTACAGGCTTGGGATTGGATTGCGTGAGCTAGTGAACTTTCTACAAATCTTTTTCTACAGTTCCCGTTTCCTTCTTTGCGCAACGTGGGTAAAAAAGCACTGAAGCACCGCCTTTGTTATTCAAAGAGGCTTCGAATGTGAGGATTCGGATTCAAAGAGGCTTCGCATCTGAAGGAGATCCGAAGCCTGTGCTTCCCATAATTCTCATGGGGGTACAAAATTTCTGCACCTCACTATCTCCGCGATCGGCCCAACTTTGTTCAAGAGGTGACGTCATGTGATGACGTCTTGATTACGTCACAAAGTATGACTGTGTTTAACGTCATTACTGGCATCATACGGTGCCACCTTCAAGATCGGATGATTTTTCACATCACTCGTACACTTGGGCTTCCTGACTTGGCTTCGTAACAGGAAACAGTGAAGACACGCTCGACGAGAAATACTGGCAGGACTTGGTGTTGCCAGAGCAGCGCCGACTCCTGTCAGTCTTTCTTCTCCCGTGTGTGTGCGATGTTCTCTGTTAAGAAACTCGTGCTGACACGCGCCAACGCTGTAGAACACCAACGGCCAATTTTACGCATTATACATATGAGGCATCTAAGGTTCTCGCATTGATATAACAAGAAAACCTAGACTCGGAAGAAACTTACTCCTCGCTCCAGTGTCCGCGGGATCCCTCTGCAGTAGCACCCTCTTGCGGAGAGGCGTTGGAGGTGGTCCCTGCGAGTCCACGTCATCGATGACGATCTTGATGTTGTCCCCTTCGGGAGCCGAGGCTCTCCGCTCTGGTTTGCCCAGCTCCTCGCGAGGCAGGTCCAGCGAGTGAGTGCTGCCGGTGCCGTGGGGGGCGCCCGGAAACAGGCACAGCTGCGCATGCGCACGGTACGTCATGGACGGCATCTACGGGCAAGCGACGGAAGAACTTGATCCCACAGCTAGACTACTCATGCCAAACTTCACGTGTAATAAGATAATGTGTCTTTGTGGTGAGCCCTGTGTCTCCGCGTATATGACTCATTTTGAAAGACACGTTGACTCTCTTTTGGGTGCCCCGCCGTGGTGGTCTAGTGGCTAACGTACTCGGCTGCTGACCCGCAGGTTGTGAGATCGAATCCCGGCTGCGGTGGCCACATTTTCGATGGAGGCGAAAACGCTGTATGCCTGCGTGTTCAGATTTGGGCCCACGCTCAAGAACTCCAGGTGGTCGAAATTTCCGGAGCGCTCTGCTATACAGCGTCTCTCATAATCATCTCAAATCTTTCTTGGGGCTTCTGACTCTTTGGTCGGTGTAATGACCCCCCAAGGACAGTTGACGTCACTCTTGAAGAGAGTCGTACTTGGCAAGTTAGGACTAAAAGAAAAAAAAACAAGTCAAGTGACTTTTTCAGAGGATGTACGGTGTGACACCGAAACTGCACTGCAAAGCGTTATAACTAAAGTCGCTGCTTCCATCGTCGTCATCATCTCCGTTTTCTTACCTCATCAGGAGCAAAGTCTCTCTCAGGAATGTTCAATTATTTTTTTCTAATACACCATGTAGCTGCTGAGCTGTATGTTAAAGTACCATTTAATATGTTCGTTTGACGGTGTTCATTTACGTCATGGACAGTAAAGTCTGTTACCTTATCTCGTCGCTGCTATATGGCCAGCAGGCGTATAGCGCAGTGCAAAGTGCAGTGGCGCAGTATTTATCGCCGAAATAACGTGGAATTTCTCACACACCTCAGATGCGTCATAAACAATGTCAGAACAAAATCCAATACATTACATATGAGGGCGTCGTAACTTATGACGCGCAGGAACTCACATGAGGAATCGCTACGCCGTGTACCACTGCCGCATTTGACCAGCGTCGATGAAGACAAGTAATTGTGGCACCCGTGAATTGCGCGAGATATCTTTAGATTGCACACTAAGGCTGAGCTTTAGTATCCATACCTAGGGGAACAGTTGTCACTGTATTCATATATTGCCGACAGTATCTTCCCTCTTTGCTGTATAGACCCCTAGAGCGACGTAAGAAGCGCACGTTTTCAATGTTACTTTGTGATATACACCAGCCTAGCGTTCACCATCACCCGGCTTATTAAATAGAAAAGCAAGCCAATAAAACAGGGAAGCCAGACGGTCTGAGAACTGGCTAACCTCTCTGCCCTTCGTCCTTCAATCTTCCTCCAAGCCAATAAAGATGCAGTGAAAGCTTACTATAGATTACGCATGTACTGTACATGTATAGCCACGACCATCCGGTTCCCTTCGTAACCACAATTGATAATGAATGACTTCATTTGGTCAAAGACCCTGACTTGGTTGAGTAGTTTGCTTTTGCAACATGTTGCTGACAGACGGAACGGGGCTGATTGTGGGCTGCGCTTGCGTAGAACACATATAAGCGCCTTTCGTGGTTCGAGTGGGCGCTTCCACGCACGTATATCATCATTCAGAGATATGCACTGCAGGGCATGTCACATTTCATAATAAACTGTTTTTAACTGAACTTGATGGTGCCGCCAAATCGCCTAGCACGTGTCCTCTAGACCACATGAAGGCCGCCTTTTGGGATTCGACTGGATGTGTGAGAATCTTGGTTCTCTCTAAAAGGGACATGCATGGCAGCAGGGCAGCCATCCTCTAACAAACTCTTCTTTTTTTATCTGACGCTGCCACCTAAACGCGGTGTACTATAAGCCGTGTATAAGCGACATTTCGCAATTTGAGTGCACGCATGTATGCCTGTTTCGTTTGACATGCATGAAAGGGTAGCCTGCTTCAAACAAAATCTTTCTTCTAAATTTCGGGCACCCAATGGAGAGCGGCGTTCTCTAGGCCACTTTTAAGCGGGAAGGCAACCTTCCTTAGTTGGTTGGTAACAACTTTATTGGTAGTCCAGCAGAGCTTTCACCGACCGGGGCTTATGTCTCCCGCATGGGGACGTCAAGGCCTTGCCTCACCGCACCCCCGCGTGCCTGCTGGACGGCCCAGAGTTGGTCGCCGAAACTGGAACTGCGCAAGGCAGCGGTCCCACAAAGCGGTAGGTTTCCGTACCAAAAACCTTCCTTCAATAATTTTTTTTGCCTCTGCATAACGTCGCCACATGGGTGCGGTGTTATATAGGCCACGTATAAGCGGCTTTTCGTGATTTCGTGGGCCTCTTGTACAGTTGCGTGGTTGTCCCTGAATGGCGCAAACGGTGGAGCTGCCCTCTCACAGATTGTCTCTATACTCGTCCCCGTTTCACCAGATACGTGTCTTACGAAGCCACATGTAGACGGCCTTTCGCAGAGACCGCTCGCGTACCTGGTTCTCCGGGATGGGCATGCGCGGCAGGGCGCTGCCCGTGGAGCACCGACGCACTTCCTCGTAGAGGCCCACCGACGGGGGCGGCAGCCCGATGGCGTCCACCGTCACGCTCGGGATGCTGCGGCGCTCGTCCGGCGAGCTCTCCGGGGCTCCGCGGCCTCCGCTCAGGTCGCTGACGTCCGAGCTCTCCGAGCTGTAGCGCGTCAGCACGCCCAGCCGGCCGCCGCGGTGCGACGAGGTCGGGTGCGCCGGGGGAGGCGGGCCCCCGTCGGCGTCCAGGCTGTCCAGCGCCGACGAGGAGGACGTGTTGCTTCGCCACTCGTTTCCCTCGGAGTCTTCCTCCTGCGCGAAGGCGTTGCGAGATGCGATACGAACGCTTCCAGAGACTGTGATGAGTTGAAGTAATATCTGGAGAAGAAATCGGCGCGCTGGCTTAGTGTTTGATTCGGTGAAGTCATATTGTTTGGAGCAGGGGAACGCGGGTTCGAATCCAGGCCTTGGCGATATCATTTTTTATGCAGAAGCAGCTGTTTTCATTTATATGTAGTTAAAAGTCAAAGGAAAGGAAATAATACTATATTTGTTTGGTTCTGTTTTGTAATCATGAACTTCTTTAGTCTCTTTTGTAATCTTTTTTTTTTTCATTTTACATTCTGATACAGAGTAACATGCCAGTGCTATACATACGCCAGAAAAAAACCTTTTTATTTTTCAAATAAAGAGTCTCTTCCTCTCCTGTCCTGTCAAAATTAACTCTGAGGTACCCGCTGCAACGTACCTTATAATAAAGTTGTGGTTTTGGCATGTAAAGTCTTAAATCTTGACATTTCGAGATAACTATTTACCCCAATTCTATACAAAAAAAGAGAAAGAGAGTTCCTAGGAGAAAAAGCTAGCGTCTGCTTGCGTCGGCTAGTATATAAATCTTATGAGGACGCATATCGGTTCCTGTGCCACACATGTTACTTCGCGTAAGCATCTTTACCAAATGTGACATTGTAAAAACCGACAGTGAATTATATGTACTCGAATGAACATAATCTTATAGTGTTAGTGATAAATAAAATGAGTAGCATTTGGGCAGTAGTGACCACGAAAACAGGGCAAGATGATTTAGCAATTAGAAAGGGAAAAAAATGAACAAAGAATTTTGCGACCAGAGCACGAAAACCAAATCTATCTCGAACTACATATAACACCTTGATAACTCGTGTAAACAATACATTACAAAATAAGATACTCTTGAACACTGACTTTCAAATGCGAACATATAGATGAAGCAATTCAGTCTCCTCAGAACAGTTGGGGCGTGGTTGCAAGCAGCGATGATGAGCTTAGATGTGCTGGAACAACTACGGACATTTTAGCGAGCGCGGGAGTGAGGTTAGATACAGAGTATCCTTCGTTGCTGGCGCGTACTCACTCACTAACTCACTCAAAATACCTGGACATTCCGCCAAACCGTCTACCGCGGGGGTGTAGCGGGCATGGTGCTGCTTGCTGACGCGAAGGTCGCGGGTTCGATTCCGGACGTCGCGTTTCGATGGAGCCAGAAGGCCAAAGGCCCACGCACTATGTGATGCCAGTGGTAGTTAAAGAACTCCAGACAGTCGAAATTTTCGGAGCTTTCCTCTACGGCATCCTTTTGTATTCATATCGTGGTTAAATGTTGTTGTTATTGTTGTTGTTATTGTTATTGTTATTGTTGTTGTTATTGTTATTGTTGTTGTTGTTATTGTTGTTGTTATTGCTGTTGTTGTTGTTGTTGTTACTCCCGTGGAACGCAAGTCAAATCCAACACCACTCATAAGACTGTCGAAGTGCTTTGTCGCCATCGGAAAACGCCGAGCTCAGTGTCGGGCACGTGCCACCGCCCACTCACGTCTGCGGCCGTGCGGCTTTTGTGTCTCTGGAGGCGCGACTTGCGGCGCAGGCGGCCCGCCCGGGGCAGGTAGTCGTCCTCGAGGGAGGAGTCCGACGACGCGTCTCGCTCTTGGCCCGCCGAGGGCTTCTGGTAGCTGTGGCGTCGCTCGGGAGACGAAGAGCGAAGCCCGTTCCGCTGCCACTCGGTCTGGCCCGCGTACGAGCCACGCTTGACGATGGTGCGGGCGCTCGGCGGGGCAAGGCAGCCACCGTCAACCTGAAACGCGCAATTGGTCTTGTTAAACTATGGCTTTCGGACGTTGCTTATTGGACTCGCGAAGGATGCGATGCGAGCTTCCTCGAAACACATCTTTAGTAAGTGTTCTTGTATAGCAAATAAAGGCAAGACCAGTACAAGACAACCGTGGTACAAGTGTATATTTTTAATAGATATCGCCCTGTGCGTTCATGTGTGTCCGGTCTTTCATGAGCTACGAGGAAGCTCACTAGTTTTACTGCGGCTATACTAATTTTAATTAGCAACTCGTCAGTGCCATTGGCGTGTGGTTCTTCCATGAGTGCCCCTCTGAGCGGTCCTTTCAGTTTACCTTTCAGTGACACTTTGAGGCGGTTATCTTTCTTCAGCAACGAATGAACAACCTGGTGTTTTGTAATCTGCATTATTGTTGCTATTTGAACATCATAAACATCATAATTATATGCATAAGCTTATCTTAACTGCATAGCACGTTTAAATGTCTTTTACCATCGATCGTCAGTAATTCATACTCGTGCTAGCACACTATATCCGTCGCATGCTTGCAGGTTCTGTCGTCATTTCGCATGTCTTTCTGTCATCCCAGTAAGCGTCGCTCTTCTCCGCACAAAGCAGTTGCTGTATATTATAACACTTGCTTTGTATTGTACTTATGCAACATTTCTGAAATTAATGCCAGGGCCAAAGCAGACGTGTATAGCATCATTACACCCTAGCAACAATGATGCGGACGTATCTTCACGAAGCCCTCAGTAAAATATAAATAGAAATGTCTGTAGAACGAAAACGCGTTATAAACGGCAACAAAATGCTTAAGGAAGGAAAGGAGAATGATAAGAAATAGGGCAGCGAGGTTAACCAAGCACATGCTTCAGTTAGCTACCCTTAGCTGGAGGAAAGAGAACAGGGACTATAAAAGAGAGGAGAAAGTTTTCAGTACTTGGGCTAACAAAATTCTGAGAAGTTTGCATATTAATGTGCCACTTACACGATAATAGTAATTATTTTTGTGATGAAGAAGAATTAAACTCCGTTTTTAAGTATACTACGGTTGAATGTGACCGAAGCTCTACAGTAAGGGTTCGTTGTTTCACTTTTGCGTGTCCAATGGCTCAGTGAACCTCAATTTCTCGAAAGCGCCTGTAAGCGATACCACTCATCTTTTGCTACATTTCATGTATTTGTTCGGTAACCACGAGGACCGAATGTACAAAGGCGAATATTGCAGCAAAGGACAAACGTTGGAGAAATAAATTCGCGTTGGATTTTTTTTTGTTCTGGGCAGAAGTTTTGTGCATACGCAACCGGTCGTGTTGAAGTAATGACGTGGTCCACTAAACACACATAATACGTGGTTCTCATTGTACAGGGAGATAATATACCCTTCTTTTTTTTCATTTACCTGCATCTGCATTTCGAGACGGAGCGCCTCCTTGAGGGGCTCGCTGAGCATGAAGCTGCCCCTGGGGCCCGTGCTGCAACCCAGGCCTCCAGTGTCCTGCACGATCCGTTCAGTCTAATAAAAGGAGAGATGGGGAAAGAGCAAGTCAGATAAGGTCCGGTGCATAGTTCGCATTGAGGTGCCAAAAAGTCACAGCTTTGCCGCAAAGGCGAAGCAATGAACGCGATAGCAAGAAACTGGAAGGTCACGCGCAAAATAGCAAGCAGATTGAAACGTTCCCCGCGTTTCTCCCGCACAAAGGACGCACGAAACGTAGTCACAGGTACAGATGAACGCGAATGAGCGTCTCAGTTGTTATTTTGCTGTGTCTGAAAAGCGAGCACTTTTCGAAAACGGAGGCTGTGCAACGATTGCAGTGACCTTTGTGCACCCCGTAACTACCACAGAATTGTCCAGACGGAACTCAAAGGCTAGCCAAGACGTACAATTCTCCCAACTGCAAGATAAGGGTGTGCGATCGAGTGTACACACCCTTATTCTCTACGCGGGCCAAAGTACGCGTGAGAGATGAGAGCCGCCGCGCACTCACGGCGCCATCGCCATCTTGCTGATAATGCTGAAAACACAATAGTTCGCCCCCCCCCCCGAGATGCCCGCCAACAGCGGTAAGTGGTAGATATAAATAACCTGCCGTTCGAACGTTGAAGGAGGTACCTCTCGGTGGCTCAGTGGTTAACTCCTCGCATTCACGGCGCAGAGGTCTCACGTTCAATTCCGTGCGCCGGTGTCTTTTTAAAGACAATAGTCTTTCTTGGGGACCTTCAATGCCAAAATTTTGGTCTGTCTGTCTGTCTGTCTGTCTGTCTGTCTGTCTGTTCGTTTGTCTGTTTGTCTACCCTTGACGGTACCGGGCACTATAAACGGCACCAGTGGAGATCTCAAACGGCCGACCACATCCGCAGTGTCCACCAATGTTGGTCAAAGTTTAGCGTTTATACTTTTGCGATTGTCAATTAAAAAACAATTATCGCGCATATCTGAGGCACCATAATAACACATATTCTGTATATGCGTCTTTTACTAAAAAAAGGCATACATAAGTTATTCTAAGGACCGTAGCTTTATTACGCAGCACTGATCATGTAACGCTTGCACAAAAAAGGAAGTGTTTCTAACGTTTTGCTAAGTCGACACGGTGGTAGCACCTATCCGTCGCCTTGCGTCCTACATCTTATCAACTCTGAGACGGGCGCGCACGCCCGTCTCAGAGCCGCGCGTTTTGTTTTCCAAGACAACTGCCAGATAGCGCTCATGTCTCACGTGTGACGTGACTTGGTGCGCTCGTTCACCTCCGCTGCACGCTCGAGGCACTCTAAGGCAGCGCCTCCAGAATACCATTCACCAATTTTCTTGCGCAGAACATCAAATAAACGTTATGTTCAATCTCTCCAGGCGCAAGACTATCATCTTTCGACGACATTTGCAGATTAACATGCAGATACGGGGCCAATTTTTTTCTCGGATTTTTTTTTCTTTCTTGCGTTTGAATATATATATATATATATATATATATATATATATATATATATATATATATATATATATATATATATATATATATATATATATATATATATATATATACGGTGCATGACGTCGACGCCGGCGGCAAGCAAATCCAACCGAGAGTGTCCATATAATTGCTATCAGAACAAAAAAAAACACGCACGCTATTTTTGTTCATCATCACCACTTCAGGTTCGCGTCGAGTAGTTTACGCTAGCCAGGAACAGTGTTTACTACGCCTGCTTTGGTGAAGCCTCATGCGAGCGGTACCCGTGCATAGATGTGTTGGTGATACGTATGTGTCAGCGTGAAAAAAATGAGTGGACGTGCAAGGTATACATATCTACATAAATCTAGTCAAATATGCCACGGGACGGAACTCAACCCCATCTTAAAATGTTTCGGGCGTAATCCTGTTCTTCCCCAATCCTTTTCCGTCTCCTTGTCTCTCATAAGCGCAAGGACCATTTGATGGCCAAAGAGCGCCAGCGCGAAGGAAAGAGAAAAGGAAAACAATTCTGAGCAGAACTTTGTTACGCTTTTGCAGAATAGAAGTTTAAACGATTGGCACAAACACCGAGACAAGGACAAGAAACGCGGGATTCCCACAGCAATAGCCTCACTCGCCACTGGTCTACTAACGCACGATCACTCTGCAGATATGTTTCAAAAGTTGCGTTTCCAATAGATGACTCCACAATATAGATGCGTGTTTGTGTCTCTGGTTTTTAGGCGTAAGAAACTTGAGTGCCCATGTAAATTTTGTCGGGGATTTTCACACCGGTGCTAAGCCAAAAATAATGTTTGGGGCAGTAACCGCGAACCTTTCACTCGTGCTATGCCTAGTATAAACAGGTGGCGAGTATCCCCTAATTTTGCGGTGGATACCCGTTTATGATGGACCATGGCGATGACATGACACGCTGACAAGCGGAAACCCTAAGGCACTTTACTCCTTAAAACGCACGATTTGTAGGTACACCACTTAATCAAATCTTATCGATCGGAAAGCTATACTCATTCCAATAAATGGACACGGAAATAGCACTGATACACTGACCCCCCCATTTTGTGTACATATTGACTCGGCCCGTTCCCGAGCCGTCTTATATTTACTTTCTTTTTATTTTGCTAAAAAATGCACCAATGCTCCAACAAATTATCCATTCTTAAGCCTAGTGTACGCGTTCTTCATGATTGTGAAGCAAAACATTCGGAAGAGTAAAGTTTAGTTGCGATTTTTCATTTCTTTCTTGTCTTGTGTTCCTTGTCTGAGTATTTTCGCCAGTAATTTCAACATAAACTTTCTGCCAACTGAACTAGCAGCAGGATCTCCTAAGCCCTCTTTAAAAAGCCATATGTTAAAAAAAGACATTCCACACATTTTTATGATCCTCCAGCTGTTTGGTTAAGAGATTAATTTGAGGCATGTAATATTTCTGAAGTGCTTCTTATTGTTCACACGATGAGTAAAGATTCTTGAATAAGCAAAAGAACCCAGCAGTATAACGAGGTCGCGCATAGAGGTTTTACAGGAGAATGTAGGCTAACTTTGTCCGAAAAAAACCATGCGGTCTTTGAACAATATCTGCTGCAGTCCAGCTTTTTCTTTGGGCGAAAGAACAATGCACTTCACTTCATCCATGGAGGCTTATGCTGAAAAGCTTATATGCAAGCCCGGTGCTCTGTGAGCGGAACTTCAAGCACCATGGGAACAAGGCTGGGCGTGGAGAGTGTTTGGCCATAGAAAAAGAAATAACATGGCGAAGGGGCACGCAGGAAAGGGTGTTTCAACTTCACGTTGAAGCATGCGATTCGCGCCAGTGGTTCTCACGGCAGGGTATTTACTCTTCACTGCTTTTCTCGCCACCGGTACACTAACACACCATCCCAACAGATGTGTTTCAAGAAGTGGCGTTACGAATAGATGGCATTACCGTAGATAAGCGCTCTTGTGTTTCTGGTTTTATAAGAGAAACTCGAGTGCCTTGGTGAATTTCGTCGGGAATTCTGGCACCGCTACTGAGTACGACAATGCTTCATCTGAAAACGACGAACCATTGACTCATAATAACCTTGGTATCAACCTCTGGCGAGTAGGGGGACCGTGACGGCGACATGACACGCCGACAAGGCTAGACCCTAAGGTACTTCCCTCCTAATATCGAGGGAGCTGAAGAACTGCTACACGCCTTATACGTTATAAAAGAGACAAGGCGGGGTAAATGCGGATACCAGAGGCAGTCTGATGATCTTTTGTACTGTATTATTCAACAAATAAAAAAAAAATAAAAAAAGATCAAAAATATTATGAGAGCACAAACGCCCACTAACAACTAAAGGAGCGAACAGCGGCTGCAAATAAACAAGTCGCGAAACCTTAATTGCTCATACCTATGCAATATGCCAACCAATCATTCTGGCACGTGTGGTGGCTTACGCGGAAGATAACTGTTAAGGCATTTGATTTAAGTTTTATACAAGTTAATAGACGGCTGGTTCGTGCCAGATTGATCGGCTTGGATATTGCATGAACATACGTAGGTAAGTTTTTTTATGCCTTATTTCTTTTCAGCCTTTGTAGCTTCTTCAGCTCTTAGCGGGCGTGGGTGATGTGCTGACTTTCTTCTTGTGTCTGTGTTTGCACGCCCTGTCTCTCTTGTTGACTGAATACGTACCAACTGGCTCAGCTGTCTGAAATTGAACGCATTATAATAAACGCTTTGAGTCACGTAAGAGAGAAAAAAAAGTGGCAGGCAGCTAGCAGGCAACTTCTTTGCGTGGTCACGTGGTACGCTCACCATTCGGCGAACCGAAGGCACCCGGTGCATTCCGGAGCCAGGAGGGGGCCCGAGCCTGTCGTGGCTCATCCTTCGCCGGCAGCATGAGCAGCGCCACACGGCGTGCTGCGGGTCTCGCGAGTACGACGCGCAGTCGTCGCACACCAGCTGCTTGCAGTCGTCGCACGTGTGGCACGGCTCGCCCGCCTGGATGCCCTTGCGGCAGATGCGGCACGGCTTCGAAGGAGGAGGCGGCGTCGCCGTGGGCACCGCGGGGCTGTTGGTTCCGGGCGCGGCCGCCGCGGCGCTGCTCGGAGGAACTCCGGCGGCGCCCATCTTGAGCGCGACGCCCGGGAACACCTTGTCGCACGACTTGTTGTCCGGGGTCGACGTGGCTGTCGACGTCGGTTGAGAGGTGGGCGGCGTGAGCGGAGGCGTCTGGGATTTCCTGCGTCGGAGAGAGTGATCCGGCTGACGTGTCATCGGATTAAGATCAGAACTTCAGACGTGCAGCGACAGAAAATAAATGTCGCTGCTGCTGCTCTTCCAGACAAAAAAAAACTATTCCTGCATCTTTATTTGTGGCGTGCGCTACATATTTCTCATACATAAAACAAGTTGGCTTCTTCTACCTAATACTGTCATAGCAGTGAAGTACCCTCTAAAGGATAAAAATTGTTCGTAATATGCTAACGGGTATAATAATAATAATAATAATAATAATAATAATAATAATAATATAAACAGTTTTTTTCCTTTAGAGGGTACTTCACTGCTGTAACAGTATTAGTTAGGAGAAGCCAACTTGTTTTATGAATGAGAGCATGGTTTACGACCTCCCATTGTGCGACTGCTTAGTGGTGGTGTTTTGGCACGCCGTTTCTCACATACTACAATCTATTCCGTGTACACTAACGCCGGCTATTTCCAGTAGCATCATTAGAATCATCCGTAGTTTATTTATTCAGTTATCTTCAAATATACGACGCAAAATTCAGACGAGCCGTTTCTCCGTCTCCTGGCTACCCCAGAGTTCAGGGGTGGATGGCAGACGTGTGGTGGGTAGAAGTTAGAAGCACTTACTTGACGAGCGTCTCAAACTCGTCCTCTTTCTGCCACACCCTGGCCAAGATGGAGCGCTCCTCGGGCGTCAGGTGGCCGAGGTCGGCGCGTGACGCCCGCGGACTGAGACCGGCCACGGTGGCGCGAAACTTGCTGCCAAGCCGCATTCCGTCCTCGTCCGAGCCGCTCTTCACCATCTGCGCATGCGAGAGTGCAAAGGGCGTACACGTCACCTGTGCGACAACCGTCTATTCGACCGCATGGCAGGTACGTAAGAGAACGCGAAGACATTACGAGTGAAAGCACCTTCACTGCTTTCAAAAAGTTTGTCAAGAGAAATTTATTCGCACGAACCGTGAACATATTACAATCCAACAGAACATCACGACGGAACACAACATTCACAGACACACAAAAAATTGTTACACAAAGATATGTTTACATATGTACACGGAACACAACATCCACTGACACACCGAAAATTGTTACAAAAAGATATATTTGCATATGTACATTACATGGTAAACGAAGAACACACAAACCAAACGTAAGTATCTATATTTTAGTTATTTGCATCGTATTTACAAGGTATGTGTGCGAGTACTAAACAAACATTACGCTACCAAATCCAGACAGGCCTGAAAACAAGCTTTACACGTCTCTCGCGGACAAACACAAAAGGGCCGGACTAGTGTCGAAGGAATTCCTCCTCGCCATGAAAAAGTTCCTCCGACAAAACAGATGTCAGTTTGTGCGCAAAGAAAAAAGTTGTTAATGATTTGGAGTATGAGGTACTCTACTATGGGAGAGGATAAAGCCGTCCCGTGTGCCTCAAACCAGCCCGTACACGGCTCTGCTAAAACCAAGAAGGTTACGCCCAGCGAGTTTCTTCAGCGTCTGACCTGAGTGATGGGTTGGTCAAGTTGATAGGCTGCGTTACGAGATAACTTTCGTGTTCAATTAGTGGTCCCAATATGCTCAAGTGACCATGATGATTAGGATGCTATCATCTGCTGCTCGAAATTTCCCAGGCGCGTAGCACATGAACAGACTCTCGATTAACAATTTCGGTTACATAGCTTTTATCGCACTTCTCGATTATAAATTGTTATGCCTCACGCACATCCGAAAGAACTGTCTCGCTAAGTAGGAGCTACACCGCAAATGCCATGGATGAGCAGCTACTGTGACAGTGGCACCCAGCTTGGGGCATACTTTCGAGTTATCGAGGGAGAAATTGGCTGTCACTACTCGCGCGCAACGCCCCTATTTTCAGAGTTTAACCCCCGAACTTAACATTTCTGAATATGATATTCCCACAGGGTAAAAAGAGGTTGAACGTGAAAGCAAGTGGAAGGTGGTGAGCGCTCAAGCCGAACTCTACCCCGATAACTAGAAAACGTGTCGCAATCGGTGCCACAGTGCTACCTTACAGTGTGTTTAGCAGCGCACTTAAGCGGTGAAGCTCATACTGGGCGCAACAGTGTACTACATTGCAGAGCAATGAATTTAGCGCAGCGCTTCTTCTTGAAGATAAGCAATCAGTGAGTTATGTTCTCACTACCGAGAGGCTCGTGTACACATCAGTGTCATCGTTGCAGATGTGAAATGTGTGCCCTAATGCACCGTGAGATTTCGTTTCGGAAAATATTTTCGAGGGGTACGTTTACTTCTAGCGTTGTTTTCACACTTTTATGTTTTGCTAACAAAAGCGTTGACGTAGCGCTGATAAAAAACAAAATGACGAGGCAGGCAAGGATTTGATTGGTATGTGGGGTTTAACGTCCCAAATCGCCATATGATCACGAGAGACTCCGTAGTGGAGGACTCAGGAAATTTGGACCACCTGGGTTTCTTCAGCGTGCACCCAAATCGGAGCACACGGGCCAACAGCATTTTCGCCTCCATCGAACAACTTGGGAATCTATCAGCGCAAATCTGTTTTTGTTAGTGCCTGTTCGTGCCGGCACCGTCTTGTCATGTGCTTTTAAAGACGATAGTCTTTCTTGAGGACCTTCAACAAAAAAATTTTGGTCTGTCTGTCTGTCTGTCTGTCTGTCTGTCTGTCTGTACATTTGTCTGTTTGTCTGCCCTAACCACGACCGGCTTTATAAATAGCGACCTGCGCATCCGCCACCAGCGCCGTGTCCGTGATTTTTTTTTGCTTGTTGTGTTATTTATAGTTTCCGTGAGCGCCGCTGCAAGCCGTGGCGCTGCTTTTAATCCTCACGTCTCCCATCCTCGCGACTGCGTATGCTGCCGGGCGAGGGTAATCGGCGCGTTTGCTTGTGCATTTGCATGCACGTCTCTTGGTATTACCTCAACTATTAGCTATGGTTGAAAGAAGTTGGGCGAAGTAGTTACACGGTGCAACTTGCGCAATGGTTTATTGCTGGTACCGCTCTGCAAATCAAGCGGGCGCACGGCCGCATCACGAGGAATATCGTTCCACGAGTTCCCGATCACGAATGTGCGGAACCTGTGGCTGAAGAACATTCATCGACAGGCCGAAGGTAAGCTGTGAAATCCGAAGTAATCTAAACAAACTCCTACGCATGTTAGGAAGCGCCGGACCACGTTAGTCCTCGTGTTTCATACTTTCGATGCTTGCCGTGATCGTGTGAGAACAGTACGATCTGCCTTTATTAGACGGTCGATTGCGTGCAGCGGCGACGTGCTGCATTACAATATTGAGTGTTTGGTTTCAGTTTCAGCTTGATTTCTACGCGTCTGTTGTGGGCGTAGCGAAAACCACATTTCATGTTGACACTTCGTTTTACAGGGCCAGGGAAACAGCCGTGGCTTCCGAACGACCGGAGCAAGGTGTTTTGGTAACACCTTGCTTTGCTGTAGGCTACTGCACAAGACCCAGGAAAGTCAAGGTGCATTCAAGCTGGTGAGGTGCCTAACGGAGAAACACCTAAGCCCCAGCAACTTTGAGAAGATGAACGTCAGGAGAGCTGTTGACATCTTCTCGGTGCAGGTGAATAGCTAATTGCATGCCGCATAACTCAGTGTGGTTGTACGGCTCTAACATTATGAAATGGCCGTAGAAATATTCGTTATTATGCGGAGGTAACGAGACTGGCCGAGTTTTGTTGCTTTAAGTCCATGTTTAAACAAATCTGATGCTCATTGCCTTGTTTAGGTCACCTCAGTCCTTAGGTTCCTCCAGCAGCACGGCCATCGCCTTGGGGCTAACGGGTTCCAAAACTGTTTGCCAACTTTGGAGTTCATGGAGGTGGTGCAAAAATGGTTTGCCTTGCACAACATCAAAAGCACGACATTGCACTGGACAAGTCGAGATGCCTTGAGGATGCCATTCTACAGTGCAGACGACGAAAGGTATGCCATGATCCGAAGGGTATTGCAGTTCCTTCGAACAAATTAAGCTGTACATTGTGATGTGACGATTATAAGTGTGTTTTCACTTTGCAGACTTTTGTGGCTGGAGACAGAGTGCCTTCAGTACTTTGCCCAGTGGAAAGAGAGCACCTTGCACAAGAAGGAGTTCCTCTCTGAGGAGACCTATGAGGCACTCAGAGTTACAACGCTGTCTACGGTTTTGTGCACAAGGCACCTCCTGCAGCTTGGATTCTATTTCGTCTTGACGGGGAAATTCTCCAGTGATGATGTGGAATCCCTTTTTTCAGCCATCAGACAGCTGAATGGCTCAAATGACCTTACTGATGCGTATGCAGCCCTGTCGGCCTTGCAGAAGATCTTGACGACAGGCATCATTCACTCCTCGGAGAGTGGAAATGTTGGAGGTGTCGTTGCCCCATTGGGTGAAGTGCCAGCCTTGCCTGTCGAGCCTGTCAAGCAAGCTGCTACTGGCACGGACATCCGGAAGCTCCTGCTGCCTCACCTAGCTACACTGGAATGCTACCCATGTATGTGCACAATCATTACGCAGCTTGAACTGAAACATAGGATTAAGTGAACAGTTACAGATAGAAAAAAGACAACACAAGAAAACAAAGCGACACCGTGATATAATTGTTTTCTAAACTGCTGTGCTGGAGGGAGCACCCACTTCACTTTCTTGCTCCCCACGGCGGACACCTTAGGCTATTAAATCTACTTATTCACCTTGTTCTTTTTCATAATTTTCGTAGGTCCTCCACAGCAGAGTCTGCGGTCCAGTACGTTGGCACTGATAGCCGGTTTCCCCGTCCGGGCCATTCAGGATAACATTGAATGCGAGGGCTGCCTGGTGAAGCTACAAGCTCCATCTTCCAGCTCCCCAACCACAGCCCTCATTGCTGGCATCGACAGGGGAGGCCTCTCCTATCCTACCTTACCATTTGTG